TCTACAGTTACTGAATCAACTGGAAGAGTTTGGACACTTTTAGATGCAGCTGCAAGCAAGTTGGTAACCTTACATTGGAGTTATAGTGTGTATATGCCAGTTGACCTTTATTAACCTTTATTTAACTGTTGAACAGTTTACTGGGCATGCTTTCCAGCCATGTCCTCATTCCTTCATGCTCATTTTCACTCATGTTCACACAGCTGTCGAGAGCAAACACATCCTCCTACTGTAATCCACTGATTAGCTCCAGTCGAACAACTTCAGATTTTTTAGATTGTGAAGTGGAAACTAACTGAGCATGTTGAGCGTTTGTAAAATCTCATTTGTATCTTCATTCACTTACTTTTCTGAAAAACAAGGTGTAAGTCATTCTCATTTACAAGAATTCCTGCAATGCATTCTTTAAACTGTCAAAAGGTGGAGAAAAAATGTATGAACAGCTGCTTCTGAATTTCAAGTTAGAAGTCACATGGAAAGTTTAAAACAAACATGTCTGCTGAAAGAAACTGCAGTAACCAAGCTCTCTGTCTGTCCAAAAACATTTTTTAGCTTTGGAGAAAGGAAAAAAAAAAGTAAGGCTCAGGTGACACCAACGCATGAGCATCTGGGTTGCACTGGAGTTTGCTGCACATAAAGAATCACACATGTCTAAACAAACCTCAGACAAGCTGGAACTCTGTTGAAAATCACCAGAAAACTGTTAAGGTTCAAGAAACTGCTGAGAGGCAGAAAGAGAGATGGAGAGAGGACCGGGAGAGGATAATTCTTGACAGATTATTCCTTTACCAGATGATAGGCTCAGCTTTTCCATAGACACGGCCATGCACATGCACACAGACGCACACAGACATCATATACTTCTTTGTAGTGTCTTTCATGATACAGTGATATTTCTCCAGAGACGGAGCCATTTGAGTATGTGTGTATGTTAGTGTGTGTGTAATGGCAAATGCATTAACAGTGTGGAGAAAGGATGACGACTCCACAAGAAAGGGAACGGGACACAAAGGCTTGACAAAGCTACAGAGACAGACATGCGTCTGATGTGCAGGACCTTTGAGGACTTCTCTCTGCACCATTTCCTCCTATTCTCTCAGGTCTTCTATCCTATTAAAACCCACATCCCTTGTGTGACCTGTTGACAAAAAAACAGCTACTCTGAAAAAAGTTAAAACTGCCTGATTCTGCATCAGCAAAAGAAGGTAATTCATTCCCTAACCACAATGCTAAAATCATCTGCAGGCCAGTTATGTGCAGGGAAGTCGAATAACAGCTTGTCTTTCTTTGCTCTGTAGTCACCTCAGAAGGTGGCCGCCAAATCGGTGGTTGTTAGATTTAAGCTCAGTGTAATCCTTCGGAAAAAATTGGGGAGGTAAATAGGTAATACAGTTGCTTCTTGCAAAAACTGTTGTCAAGCTTGATCCAGAGCAGCAAAGTCTCCCAAATCCCCAAACTCTCAGCAGACAGCTGCTGAAGACGTCTTGTACTGGAAAGATCCCAAGTATGACTGAGTTGAAATGTATGACAGCAAAGCAAAGAGGGAGCATGATGAGAAATCAGCTGTCTTTACTTGAATAAATAAAGCTTTTTAAAAAACCCTCCTTAATCCCTTTAAACCTAATCATATCCATCATTTCAAAGCACTTTAGCAGAAGAAAACCCCTGATTTATACCTGTACAATTTTACATGAGTAAGTTGTGGCACTTGCTGTACAGGTATAAAGTGGGGGTTTTCTTCTGTTTATTGCTTTGAAATGACGATAAGTATGAAACTGCTGCTAACAACCAGTTAGCTTAGTTTAGCATAAAGACAGGAAACGGGGGAACAGCTAACCTGGCTCTGTCCAAAATTTACAAAACCCCTCTTACTAGCACAAGCTTAAAGCTCACTAATTAACATGTATCTAATTTGTTTATTCTATAAAAAAAAAACAATGCAGTTCACCATTTTATGGAGGGCTACATGCCGGACTCTTGACCAGGACCAGTTGCTAGGCGGCTAGGGGAGACTCCAGGAAGTTACTGGCACAGTCATGAAACGTGTTACCAGATATAACACATTATTAGCGAGCTGATATAACACATTATTAGCGAGCTTTAGAGGTGCTGTAGACAGATTTATAAAATCTTTTGGGCAGAACAAGTTAGGGTTGCCACCTGTCCCGTATTAGCTGAGATGTCGCTTATAATAGGCCTAATCTATTTGACCCTTCCGTAACCTCTCTTGTCCCGTTTTTTGACTAGGCTATACGCTGATCTAACCACTGACTGATACAACAGCAACAGCAGCAGTGCTGATCACGACACTTGACAATGGTCACCGACAGCTGTCATCATCCAATCACAGCCCCCTCTCACGTGCCTCAGTAGGCCTATACGTTAAGTAATGTTAAATGCAGCTACTGTGGAAATTGACAAAATAGCGGCAAGTGATACCTCGCAGTGTATCCCACTGTCAAACATGGACTTCAGCACCGACAGTCTTGTTAAGCTAAACGGTGTTTTGGTTCATGAAGTTGTGAAGAAGATGCACTTGGTAAGAACGAAAGCTGAGATGATCACAATAGCCATGTTTCCATCTAATTGTCATGCGAATTTTAAGCGTACTTTAATGTCGCAAAAAAGAAAAAAATAGGAAATGCAAAATATGTGTGTTTCCATCAGCTGGTTTGGAACGAATAAACCAGGCTATGGCAAGCGTAGTTACATCAGCAGTTGACGTTACACATGGCTTTAATAAACAAGACGTATGGGTTCCAAACCAGAAACAAAACCAGTCACATGAACATGATGGCCTCTTCTTAGAGAAATGGAGAGGGGTCCTCAGGATGTTTCAAGCGGGCAAGTTGCTCCAGCCACGTTATGGAAATATCCGGTGTTATGCCGAGTTTTGCATATTCCTGTAGAGAATTGCATGCACCTCCAAATAATGCTTTTAAACACTATAATATCCTTTGTGGTGTTTATCAATTGGGATAAATGATTCGAACTATATATTTTATGAACTTTTAGAGTCGTTAATATTTTATTACACTCAGTAGAAGTAGCATTCATTGAGATTCAGCAAAAATATGAGGTGATAAATTTGATCAGTGTGCAGTGCAAAGTATCTGAAAAGGACCTTTAAGAGGTGAATGTATAATTTGGCTGAACAGATGATGAAGGTCACCTGCCGAGATTTGCATCCACCTCTTTTCTCAGCACAAATGAGCGCTACCAGCCACGAGGACCATGAAATTCTCAGCAGGCATGCAGAACTCTGCACAACCAGGCAAGATGCCTACAGCAGAAACAGCTGATCAGTCGTTCAACTGATCAGTTCGCTATGTCAGAAGTTACTCGGGAAAAGTGTTTCCATCTCCCATTTAGCGCATTTAATATTTTTCGACAAAGGCAAAAACCACCTCAAGAGAGCGTAAAAACCTTTTTGCGAAATTAAGGATTTTTTTTCAAATTTTGCCATTTCCATCAACCATTTCTAATGCGATACTTCAAAATGCGCAGTATTTTAGTATTTAGTATTTAAATGCAAATGGTATTCATCAAGTTCTGATGAACTGCCTGAAAACACATGAACTGGAAATAAAACACATCCCAAGTTATATTCTTTTTAGTTTGTCATATGTAGGCTACACGTAACCTAAAGTGCAAGAGCCACAGGTGTCTTGACAGATAGTAAAGGTAACAGGTAGTGGTTCAATTGAAGGACTGTGTTAAAGTTACCTGTGTTAAATAAACTATTATTAAACCTGCTATCAGATTAGCTATCATTATGACCAATTGCTTAAAACAATACACTGTATATTCACACAAACCCATACCCGCAGTGCTGCAGCAGGTCACTTTTTGTTCCTTATTTCATAGTGACAAAGTTGGCAACACTAGAACCAGGCTAGCTGTTTGCCCCTGTCTTCCAGTCTTTATGCTAAGTTAAGCTAACCTGCTCCTGGCTCCAGCTACATATTTACCGCATAGACATGAAGGTGGTATCGATCTATCGAACTCTAACTAAGAAAGCAAAAATGCGTACTTCCCAAAATGTTTTACAATTCCCTTAACCTGTAAGTCCTAGCCTACTATGTAAAAAATACAGCTGAAATGAAAATGTCTTTTCAGGACCAGAGTTTAAAAACATACCAGACAATAAACAGTGTATGGTTCCATCAAATTAAGCAAAACTAAATTACATTATGTAAAACTAATGTCTAGAGCTGTGTGCATCTACAGAGGTATATGTGATTTACTTGGTTTTGGTTGTAAACAAAGTTTTTTTAATTAGCTGATCAGTCTGTGTCATAAATCTCAGTCGTTTGACACAACCTTTCACCTCTAAGTCCTAAACCTTCACTATTTCCACTGACCCTGAAGCTCCTCTCTTCTTCTCTCCACATTCTGATTTTCCTTGGGGACACACTAGCGTTTCTCCCATCCTCCTCTTCCATATTTCCTCTTCCTTTCTTCTTTATTTTCTGTTCAGTTCATGTCTTTTCGCATTGCTCTTATTGCTTCTGGCTCTAAATGTTTTTTCTCACAAGCCTGGCTTTCATAGCCTTATTTGTCCTAACAATGTGACTTTACATAGCTGTCTCTCTCCATCCTTGGTTCCTGTGTTTGTTGGCCCTCTGTGTCTGTGTTTCTCTCTCTCTTTCTCTCTGTCTGCATATCTGTCTTTCTCCAGCACTGCTTTCCCTTTTCACTTAGTCGCTTTCACAGTTACACACACACACACACACACACACACACACAAGCCAGGCAAAGTTGTACTGGTGTTATGTTTCAATAAAGTAGGAAATACTTTCAACCATGCAGGAAATGTCTGCTAGAATCACTCTCTTCTCATGCACACACACACACACACACGTAAATGCTCACACACACTCTTTATATAAAAATACACTTTTATTGGAAAACCAAACCCTAAATGAAATCCAGAGTTTAAAAAAAAGTAATTTTAAGAGCAGGAGTATTTAAGGTAAAGGGAGAGAGTATAGTTTAGTCTAGCATACAGACGCTGGAGGGGGAGCCAGGCTGCAGACGGGAATGGCACCATAAAAGAACTGGTCTGTCAGCGGGAAGAGTAGCACCAGAAACAGTAGCATCCCGGTCAGATACGAGAAGAGCAGAGCTGGTCGTTGAGGGTGTTGCAGGGTGGAGCTGATGTCAGGCAGGCCCTGACTGTTACAGAATGAATGGCACAGAACTGGACCCACAACATGACCTATAGAAAGAGATTACAGATTTAATGAGGCGTGTGTTACCTGTAGGTGTTAGATCAATCAATGTGCTGTTCACTTCATCTCTCACCAGTTCTCATGAATATAAAGGCAGTAAAGGCACCAAACACAGTTGTGTACAAGAACTGCATCCCTGCAACAGAACAGCATAAAGATCAGTCTGATTAGAACTTTATTTCCACCGTGTCCATGTTGTAATCTTTCAATGATGATATAGATATAGATATAGATGTAGATATAGATATATGGTAAATTACTTTGGTACACAAATACTGCAAAAGGAAAAGTTAATTCATGCAGTCGTGTGATTTACTAAAAGACTGGTTACAATCTAGACAGACATACTATGTGATCTAATAACCATATATCAATCCTAAAATGATAGTTACTGATAATCTAATGTCATTTGAATTTAATAGCTCATTACAATTTGGTTTATTTGAGGATAGTTTTGTAAGCCAACTGACCTGACACCAAGAAGATGACACTCAGATTGTCCTTGCTGAGGCGCCGTTGCTCTATGATATGGTGGAAATGGGCTAGAATGACACCATAAAGAAGCTATCATGGTGAAAACTTGCTAACATGTATTTAAGAACAAAAAGCTTTCATATATTTCAAAGTATACAAAGCAGTAAGTCACTAACTAGTGTATTTTATCATTCTGCCATTAAGAATAGCTTACAGGCAGGCAGGTAGGTAGGTTCAGGCCTGCGTTTGGGTGACAGAAGCTTAAAAGCAAAAACACAAGGCAAGATGGGAATATAGCAACCATGACAAACTGACAAAGGAACAAAGGATCTAGGCTGGTATTGTTGTCAGTGACAGATGAGTGAAGTGAGAACTGGTGAGCAGGTCAAGTCAAGTCAAGTCAGCTTTATTTGTATAGCACATTTAGTGCACTGAGGCAATTCAAATGATGGGAAAAGTCAATACATATAGACAGTAGCTGTGCTTAGTCTTAAATTTTTTTTGAAGACATATGGTGGACAGGTAGAGAATGGCAAGTCTGGGGAGTTTGAGACAAGAAAGTAGAAGCTAGAGACTGGGACAGAGAGCAATGCAAAGGGCTGTGGTCGAAAGTGCTTGGCTGCAGAGAGGGACTGAAGAGCAAAGTGTGACACATTCACTGTTATGATAATGTCAATGTAGTCCTAATGTTTAATGTAAAATAGTTAAAAGTTGATCACAAATATGAGACCGTGCCATACCAACTCCGAAGAACAGCGGAGCCATGAAGATGGCAGCTGTGGGTCCAGTGCAGGGAACCAGCATGGGCAGCATGGCCCCTCTGAATACCAGCTCCTCTGTCACTGGTGCCACCACCTGGTTCCTGAGCCACACTGCATCTCCCACACACAACCTCCATGAATGAACATCTGGGAAAATAAAGACAAGCCTTTATGACGACATATGCATCAAATGCATGCAAGCAAACGTAAAACCCAAATGTGAACTCCTCACCCCCAATTCTAACGTTTATTATGACATATGATATTTAGTAGACACAAAGTTTAACTCACCTAGCACATTCTGCAGTTCTCCCGTGAAGCCTTCTGGGTTGTCCATTGCAGAATGAACCAGGGGACCAAGATAGAAAGCCTGATGTTTAGAATAAAATCAAGTGTTTATAACATCCAGTGGAAGTATACATATATACATAAAAAAGATTAAAGAGGAGGATTCTACAGAGTATATTTTTTTCAATGTAGGCCTATGGTTTAAAGATTCTCATGGGATATCACTGCAAAATGCAGAAGGTTGTAAAGCCATGCTGTACTGCACTGGGAATGGAATTTCAAGCTCTTAAATGTCAAACCTGCCTTAGTGCAGCATAAATAAGAGGAAAACGGGATCCACAGAGTTGTGTTTGTAACTACAAAAACTCGTTGTGGCATCTTCATTTCTTTTTCTTTAAGATTTAATCTAGGTTGAGACTCCCTGACGTACCATATTTATCAGTAGCGGCAGTATGGCTGCAGGAACCAGAGCTTCCAAACGAACTCCCATCAACTCCCACACAGACACATCGACCTGGAAGGGCAGAACAAAGCTTTACCAAGATAATTTAATTTACCTTAAAGTGATTAGAAAGTTAAGCCAATGTGACCGCAGGGTTAATCTCACAAAACACCTTAGTGAGGACTCTGCAGTTAACCTGGACGGTCAGGGTTCAGTTCCCTCTGTGAAAGAATCCTTGAATCCCTTTCATCCTGATGGCACTGACCTTTAACTTCCCTGTGGAAGGTTAATGAAACTGTTGCTTTCTCACCTGGAGATACTGAAGATACTGGTGCTATGGTTATATTATTTTAGGATAGATTGGGCTCATTCTGCTTGCTAATGTAATTCTTTCGTGGCAGTTATTACAAGCAAGCTCATTTGAGATATTTTCAGTTATTCCATGAATCTGTCCACAGATACCAGACAATAGCACCGTGTCCAGCAGGTTACAAGCTAACCTTCGAGTTACTCATTTGATATCTACCATATATTAACCATATTAAACACTATTGGGCACGTAGAATGTGTTCTTAGAAATTTAGCCTGGCTGAATACAGATACAAATGTAATGGCATTTTAAAGGAGTGTGACTCTATATCTTCAGTATGTTCAATAGAGAAATACAACATTATAGTTCTTAACTGTGCTGCCAAATAGTACCAGTAAAGATTTAGACACACAACCCCCTGTTATCAAATAGAAGATGTAACAGAGACAGGCGGACTCTAGGACACATCTTATTCAATATATATATATATTTTGTAATGAGTGATGTAATTCTCACTTCTGTTAGGTGGTGCCACAGGAATATGTTGAAATAAATATATGAATTTTGGCCATATGTTTATCTTTAATATGTTTATTCTCCCAATCAGAGATATAGGCAAAGGCATCCATTGTCTGTATATTTAAAGGCTGGGTCCATTATAAGTTCATAATTTATTTATATGGAGGTGTATAGAGGACTATATAATGACTGAAATTATAATGTAAACTAGGAAATAAAATGTAATTCCACAATAGCATTATAATTTTCCACATATGTATCTGTTATTTGAGTACATATTCTAAGGGAATAGTGCAATAATCCAATTTGCATTGCGTGGGTGTTCTGTGACCACATTAAAATGAGAATGGAAAAGCTATTTGACATTTAATTTTAAAGTCATACCCTGCTGTATAGTAGACAATATCAGTACGCTCATCAAGGCTGGTCTTCAGTTATGATGTCACTTGTGTGAATATCTGAATTGTACATGTGGTTAGACCACTTGTGCCAGAAAGACAAGAAGGTGACTGGGGCCCACTGATTACTGTGCAAATCCATTGCATTTCATGAATTTACTGTTTGTCAGAGCACAAATGAGACACAAATTAGCTCAAGATAGTAAAATATTTTAAGGTTTTTGTATGAGGACTAAGTAAGTGAAGGAAATTAAGATTTTAGATTTAAGTTCTGTGTCAAATGTGTTTTAATTTTTTCATTTGGTCATATAGTAACACCCATATGAGTATACAGAGGTTAAAAAATTTTAAATTTTTACTCAAATAACACATATATGTGTGGAAAATTATAATGCTATGGTGGAAATATATTTTCATTTCCAAGTTTACATTACCAAAATAATATTGTCCCCAACTCACTTCCACATTTTGATGCTATATTTTCTAATTCAGGTATTATTTTGATGCCCAAATATGTAAAACTGGTTGAGAGTTTAAAAGCAGATGAATCTTGGTTATATTTTATTGTAGTAAACATTGGCCTATGTTTTGTCCATGTGTACTCACCCTGATATCAGCCCAGTGTATCCATGCCTTCACCACTGCAGGTGACAGTGCAGAGACTAGCAGCACACTGGCACAGCGACGCTTTATCAAACTAGGATGGTCCCTGCACACACACACACATATATACATACAAGTGTTTACCAGTCCAGTCTAACAGAACCGTCACTGGTCTGCTGGTGAGTTGTATACCTGGGTAAGCTGCTTCTCCAGACGTACAAACTGCCAACGTACAGACAGGCGAGCAGAAGGCAGCTCAGCACACACACCCAACATTTTGTATGGGCGGGCTCCACCTGCACTAAAGAGTCATTTTCTGGTTCCAGCATGACAGAAGTGAGGATTTCAGACGTTCCTCAGGTGAGCTACAGCTACCACATCAGATGAGCTACAGCTACCACATCAGCACAGGTTCATCGTGCTTTGGATTGGTTCAGTTCTGTCTGTCATTTCAGATTAGTAGATCCCCATGAAGTGGAGATCTGTGCTGCAGAGGGAAGCTGATTATCTCTAATACTCTACTGGGAGGACACATGCGCAAGTGTGCTTGTAAACACACACACACACACACACACACACACAAACTGACATGGTCTGTAATTACTCTCTTCACAGATATAAGTGGACCTGCTGTAAATGACATCCTATCTAATACCATAGCTTACTTTGCGAGGCTCATAATGTTCAGCTTTGGTTGTGACTGTTTCAGAGAGGTGCTGATTCAGATGTGTGGTCTTTTTTGTGAGATTATCATTCTCTAACCTTTGAGCCATCCCTTTTGGGAGCAGCGAAGTTGGTTGTTAACACTGAGGGTAATGGCAGAGACAACATACTCGTTTACTGACTGACTATGACTATCAAATAAAAGAGGTACAGATGTGAGAAATTAACTTGTCATCAGTGACTAAAACTTCTATCCTATGCGCTAGATACTCACTAGATATTCTTTGACACTACTTATTTGTGCAATTAGCTACACATTTTCTTGATTTGTCTCAGCAAATTATTTATCAGATTTTCCCATTTATGGAAAATCAAAGTCAGTAGAAAGCTCACATTTTTTTCCACTAATGTGACTTTTTGAATAAGATGTGCCTCTTCATGGTTTGATTTGATACAGTTTAACTAGATCACATAAAATAATATTTTTTTCCACTTATATTCTTTAATTTTTTTACCAGTAAGTTCTGCCTGAGCTGGTAAACAACTAAAAAGCTGGCAAACAACTAAAAACTAGTTTTTGGTTAAGGAGTTGGTTCCAGTTATTAATATAAGGTTCAAAAAACATTTGTTTGTTGCAGAAGTATTAGACTCTATAATATTTCACAGGTTCATGTCATGTTCAAAGCTAATTAGATACAAAATCTAAACATATAAGCAACCAACCAATATTTATTTTTCTTCAATATCTTTATTAATATCATTCACCATTCATCATATCTTCACCTCATAAATATAGACAGCAACATCAGGTATACAGTGTGTGACAGGTATACAGTAGCGATGTGAAGCAGAGTACCAATTTATCTGCACACCTTAAAAAGCATATAGTAGTCAGATGAATGCAGAAATTACATAACAGGTTCGGTTCTGTGAAGAAAAAGATCACAACCATACACATGGCATTAAGGCATTCAGGGTCTAACTTTTAAAAAAAACTTTCAGCTGGATGTTATACTTGAAACCACTTTGAGCATCCTTTGTGTGCACACAAGGTTTGATAACCTTAATATGAACAAAATGTTCCACATCAAATATCTAAAAAATGAAACAAATATAACATTGCATTAAGTGGAAATACTTTTAGGGATTATCAAAATGTGATGTTGGGGGTCATCATGTAATTGAAAACATGTACCCTGAGTCCAGCTCATGACTTGTCGCATTTGTTGTTAATGTAACTTCTTGGCATGTTACATCAAAATATTTTTCAAATGTCTAAAACAGACGGACAAATACCGTAAACTATTTCCCATAAAAAGACATGGCACATTTGGCCATAATCTTTTTTGACAAGCTCTTGTCATGACAAGGGGGACCTATTCTTTGTATAAAAAAGAAGAGGAAAAGCCAGTGATGAAATACTGAACAAACTCAAGAATAAACACACAAACACAAAACATCATATGTGCAAGATGATGTACAACAATCTGATACATCATTTAAATAAATAAAAATATGTGAAGAGAATCAAAATAATACTATTACATTAAGACAGACTGAATAATAAAAGGGATAAAGAAGGCAGAGTTTGTAGCCCATCAGGTTTCCCCAGAATTTGTATGAACAGTTCTCCGTAAAAATAAAGGCACTTTAAAATACGGAGCATCAAAAATCCTGTTTTTATCTTGTGAAAAATTATGAACAAGATTTAAAAAAAACAATCATCTTTATGGACTTCAGAGGCTTAGTAGTAGTAATAATATGTTTTGTGTATGTCCTCTCTTCTCACTGTAGGACACACTTGTCTTTGTTGCTGTATTTTCTTCTCCTCATCTCTAGCCCGCGCTCCAGACGCTCATCCTCCTCCAGCGCCCTGCAAACACACACACACACACACACACACACACACACATATTACAATATAGTGCATATGATATTAACTCTTGGCCATCTGTACCCAGAACTGTATCAACTAAATGCTTGCAAATAAGAGATAAAAATTATACATATCATATGTAACTAATTTTATTTTTATGATCTTTTTGCAGGTCAATATTACAAACATTATAAAGGCTTAATTTGAAACATGACAATCAAATAATATGAAATATGTAGTGCATAATTATTTTTTTCCCAATGCTTTTTCTTTTTTAAGAAATTTTCACCTGGTTGGTGAACTTTTTCCCTGTGAATTGTTTTGTCTTTTTCACACTATTTCAACTATACACCCACACTCACTCACCCTCTCTCCTTGGCATCTATGTCTCTGATGATCTCGTCCCGCTGGTTGACCAAAGACACCAGCTCCTGGAGGAGCAGCTGCTCCCTCTGCTGCTGAGTGGATGACTTCTGCCAGTCTGCAGGAAAAGCAGCAGAACATTTACCTTTACTTGTCACACTCTGCCTGTCTGCCATGCCATGTTTTTGCACTTTTGTGTTTAGTTAGTGTTATTTTGGTCTGTTGGGTTTTGGGGGTCTGTCTTGTCTGTCGTCTAGTGTTCGGTAACCCTTGTCATGTCTGTTACCCCAGTGATCCCTCTGCATGTCTGTCTCTGTTTTCCCCTGCTCTCTCTCTCCCTGCCTGTGCCTCGTTAGCCTCATGTTTTTCACCTGTGTTGCTCTCGCCTTGCTCGTTAGTCCCTGTGTATATATACCTGGTGTTTCTGTCTTGTCCTGGTTGGGTCATTGTTTATTGTCACCCAGTGTTGAAGTTTGTTCTCGTGTCTCCAGCCTTACTCACCGTGTCTCCCTGTTACCCTGCTCAGTTTTGGATTCTGGTTTTCACGCTTTTGGATTTCTGCTGGACAGCCTTTGTTTTTGGACTCAATCAGCCCCTCTGTTTGTAAGTGTGCTTGCCTTTTGTCATATTAAAACCCTTCACTGAACTGCACCTGCTAGCCTTCGTGTCCTGCGTTTGGGTCCTCCAACCTGCTCAACCCTGCCTTCACCACAAAACTGTGACATTACTAGCAAGAGATTTAAAGGTACAATTTGGCACTTTTTATGTGGATGTCCAATAAGTATTGATTGCAGTCAATCGAAGCAAAAAATTCTCAGTGCATGCTATACAGACTGAAAAAACTGACTTCACAAAGTAGTTCATCCTGCACCATCATTTGATGGGATAGTGATGTAGTTGGTGGTACAGAGGAACTACAAGCTACTTCCGCAGCTTGAATTTCTTACATTGGCCTCTGTGTAGCCGGGGGGTGCTGGGTGAGAGCTCTAGATGCCGCTCTCTGACTCAGACATTCAGCTGTATTTATGCGAGCCAGGGAAGAAATGCAGCAGAGGGAGGCTGAGGCTGTCAGCTAGTGTTGACTTTGCTGCTGGTATGTGTCTGTTGCTGCTGTATGTAGATCTACTTGATAGAGACACCCTGATGATGGTAACTATATGGCTATGTGAGAAATTTGTATTGGTTTTATTATGGCATGTTTAGTCTCACATTGTTTAATGTTTACATTTGTACTGTCTTATTATGAGCTTGTCAGTCATTTTTAAATCACTTTCAATGCACTAACATGTATGAAATGTGCTACACAAATTGATTTGAATTGACTGAGCGGAATATTGTACTTTTTTACTCATGTACATTTAGTTCACACAAACAAATATGGTGCATTTTTATAGATGAAACTACACAACAAAATGTGAAATGGCTTATATTAGCTCCATCTAGACTAGTTAAAACATTAAAATGCAAGTATTTTACACTGGTATTGCTACTTTTACTTAAATGATTACTGAATAATTGCGCCACTGATGGTTACTAACCTTCTATAGCCATCATGACCCGAAGTTCTCTGTTCAGAAGCTCAAATCGCCTCTCCAGATCCTGCTCCTGTTGCCTGTAGGTACAATCAATAATTAGACAATAAAAAGGGGTCATACTGTATGTACATGTGTCTACTGTTTGTGTGAAGTTACAGTAGTTCCAGGTTGTCCTGTCTGCGTATTAGGGCGTTCTTCTTGTTCACCAGAGTGAACCACTCCTGGATCAATCTCTCCTCCTCATCACGGTCACTTCCTGTTTAAACAGAAGGGCAGTTTGTAAATGACTGTCTGGATTACAGGAGGAAAAACCACACCATGAAATCAGGGGGACTCGTGGGGTCTTGAACACCTTAGTTAACACCTGAGACCTCTGAAAACCTTGACTCACCTGTTTCCATGAGGCTTCGCAGTCGTCTCTCCACCACAGCGGCTCTGCTGTCGATGTGTTTCTGCTCCGTCTCCAACGCTGCCAGCTCACTCACCACATACTGACTGGTGTCCTGCAGACACTGACCACAAGCCCCGTCACACACAAATGCAGACACAATCCACATGGACAAACAGCCACAAAGAGGAGGAAAGGCAATGAAAGGGAAAAAGGCAGTCGGGAAACAAGAGGGTCAAAAGATTAGAGACCAAAAGGATGAAAAATACAAGCTGTGAATGTTCACAATCCTAGAAATGCTTTCTTTGTAATGAATGAAACAACTTGTGTACAAGGTAAAAGCAAATATGATTCAGTCCTTGCAGCCATCAGGTCATGTTAATGAGAGTGAGTCACAGATAAAGGGAAAGAAGAGGAAAAAGTTACGTGAGGAACACATAACTGACCATTGTGTCCTCTTGTTTGGGAGGCTGGGTCTCGGCTGCACTCTGCAACTCTGCACAGATGGACACACACGGCACAAATCAAAGTGGGAAAAGAAAATGAAGAAAAATAGTTAAATAATTATAAAACAGTTTTATTTATAAGATTGTCTCTGAAAGACAGAAGCTTCAGGTACCCACCTGTATTCTTAGTGATTTCTGTTGCAGATGTAGTCATTGTGTCTTCATCCTGGACAAAACTTAAACTTTAGAAAAATGACATTACAGTTTAAACATGAAAGTCAGTTACAGTTTAAAAAAGTGTTACCTGAGCCAGTCCAGATTTGACTGGTTTGTTAATCGATCTTGGGGGTGGGACTGGGGTTATTGACTCGTCCACTAAAAACAGATAACAACTATCAGAAGTTGGATTTAACCTCATTATTCCTCACAATTTCCAGAGTAATCTTACTTTAAGTCTAAAGGAGTAAGCAAGCTTAATAAGGCATTATGTATCAAACATTTAACAAGCTTCATCAGGATTCTGTGGGTGTGGTGTGAAGAGCAAACAATCCGGCAGTCTCATTTTGATTCAGTTGTTTTTTGCTGAGTCTTGATTTCTGCACGTACAGAAATCTCTCATCTGAAATAATAAAAACTATTCTAACTTTGATGTAAAATGTGTTCATGTAGAACCCCATCACTCATAAGAAGCTGATTAAGAAAATGTGTTTTCAGGCCCTTTCAGAAACTTTGACATTAGAGCAACACAATTTATATCTCTCATACTGAGAGAAATATTTATATCCCAAATGCCATGTTTACGGCTGCACTATTCCATCAAATGGAAAACTCTTTTTGTGCATCACTGTGTACACATTTCCATCAAATTCAACACGACATACAGTATTTTTGGGAACCTTAGGAAACCGACTAGAATCTTAATTGAGGTGGTGCTGTAAATTTGATTTAAAGATTTGTTTATCCTCGCTTGTTGTCTCCTTAACTCAGACTGTGCTACTTCACATTCCTGAGTTCCCTGGAGACATGCTAATGTTTCCCCTTTCCTCTTTTCTGTTTTTCTGACTGGATTCTTTTTTGCTCCACATCATTATTTGTCTCTTTATTTCATGGACTCCAGCATGAGTTACTCTATGTATAAAGGTTGAATACAGACTGGAATCCATGATGAGTACAAAATGGGCTGTGATGAGGCCCATATGGTTGAGGTGGCTAAAATTTGCCTTCAAAACAGATAGGATGAATCACAGTAAAAATAACCATAAGATGTACAAGGATTTAAAAATTAGTATAAGCATTAGAAAGTGGAATGTTTAACAGAGGCTGACACCTTTAACCAGTCGTTTGGTCCTGGGTGGCGGAACGACCAACGTGCTGCTTCCTCCTTCCTCTAGGGTCACCCCTTCGTTAAGTCTAGCCATGCAGAAAGCGGCAGCGTCAACATTAGTAGGACCGGGACCAGAGAGGGCGAGGCCATAGCTGGACTGGCTGCTGTTGTGCTCTATCTGCAGCACGCTCAGCTCCTGGTTGGTGAAGTGTGAGCGGATCTGGCTGAGGTAGGTCATGACTATGAGCCTGTCGGGGACAGATAGAAGAACCATGTCGGACGGCTCCAACAGACGAGAGATTCCCAGCGCTTCGAAACCGTCATATGCCTGAAGTTGTTAGAAAAAAAAGACATCAGTGAAGAAACAAACTGTATGTCAAACAAGGTTAATTTTAGCCTCCACTTGACAGGCAGAGTCTTTACCTACCTCAATTAGATAAGACATTTGGGTAAATTAATTCACTATGGTCTTAAAATTTTAATAAACAACATCATTAGAAGAGAACATGAAGCCCATCCTTACCTTCTTGTTGTTAAGCTTGATGTCATGCGAGTCCAGCTTGTCAAAATCTCTAATGGGACAAAAGCAGTAAAGAATATATTGAGAACATACCTACACGTTTACAACATTTAAATTAATGTATGGTTGAAACTATCAATTCTTTTAATTAGCCCTTAGTAGTAGCTAGTACAAAATTGCTTGCATGCCGTACATTTTGTCTGGGTGGAAGTGATGTAGGATGGCACAGAACGCCAGGCCATTTCTCCAGGATGTGCTGAAGTTGGTGACCTTCACTCCCTGGTACCCTTTGGTGATGTCCTGACACCACTGGAGCAACGACTGGCTGGAGTTCACCAGGTCCTAGTAAACGAGGAGTTGGAGAATATGGAAAGAGGAAGAGGAGGGAGCTGAGATCTGTGATTTAAAAAGCATGTCAGAATTGAAGTGCAAATCATTATATTGTATATTTACCTCAGCTGCATCATCCTTCCCATCAGCCTCTTCTCTGACCGCTGGAATGGGATCAGGGGACTTAAAGTCAGAAGTTTCTTCTTCTGGTAATGTAGGAAGTCGAGATGTCTTCATCTCACAGTGGTGGGGAGAAGCAATGTGTATGTCAGTGTGTTTATCATTGGTGTTTGGGCTGGGGGTGCCTTCAAGCTGTAATGATGGTTTCTTCCCTCCACCATCAGGGAGGTCAGCTGGTTGGCCTTTAAGCCTAAGAGGAGACAGGACGTGAAAAATAGAAAAGATGAGTGATGAAAAAGAAAGTGATTCTTTTTTCAGTGGAAGAAAGGAGATCATCAAAGCAGTCTGGTATCAGCATCGCCACACGTGATTCGTATGTGTGAGCAAGAAACATGAAAGCTTCAGCAGATTGCAGCACTGAGTTGATGTTAGAGGATGTAATTGGAAACACAGCATTCATGACAATGGGAATCTATATTTCAGGGTAGTATGTTGTTTGGCCAATGTTTAATCAATTCAGAACAAAGCAGATTTTCTGTTGTTCTACATGGCAGCAATTAGTGAAACTACATGGCACCCGCCATTTACTCAAGTGGCAACACACACACACATATTGAGCCAGAGCAGTTTTAAGTCTTCTGGGGCGAGTCCCAAGTCAAATCTCGAATAAGCCAAGACAAGTCAAAGTTAGGTCTCAAAAGATGACAGAGCATTTGAACATTTTGCTTCCTGAGCTGTTTGCTAGTGTTTCTACCCTTTGTAGCAGCATGGCTCTATGGTCTTTCTGGTGGTCAGTACACCACCACATCCAGACTGAAATGATGAAAATAAAAATATCAGTGGCCAAGTGGATGAATCCTACTGACTTTAGTGATCCCCTGACTTTTCATCTAGCGCCATTACCCTTTAATTTGTCCAGCATCTGATCAAATATCTGCAACAACATCCCCATCCTCAGCTGTACCTTCTTTTTAGTGCTAATTAGCAAATATTAGCATGCCAACAGGCTAAGGTAAGATGGTGAACTTGGTAAACATTAATGCCTGCAAAACATTGGTATGTCAGCATAGTCATTTAGCATTTTAGCATGCTGACATTAGCATTTAGCTCAAAAGCACAACCGTGCCTACTGTAAGTAAAGCCTGACAGCGCCGCTAGCATGGCTGTAGACTCGTAGCCTCATTTGCATATGTAGCTGACACCAAGTCTGTTGAATAAACAGGCCTAATACTTAACTATTCTTACTGTGTGGCTACTATATCTGCTTATTGTTGTCCAATTTATTTGTATATTTCAAGATTTTCAGAATTTTATACTTGAATATTTTTGCAAGTGAGACTTAAGTCCATGTCTCAAGTCCCAAGTCAACAGCTCTGCATATCACACATACCCGAACAAATACAGGTCTTGAGATGCATGCCATTTTACAGAGCAGCACAGGTTGACAGCCCATGCTGACTTACACATCGCCCTCTTCTCCTTCTTGATTTTGCCTCAACTCATTGGCCAAGGGCTCTTCTGCCTCAGCTAGTGATATTTCCTGCAGGTTATCACAGCAAGAAATAATCAAGTGCTGACTGTGATCAACAAGCTCTGTGGTGTCACAGTCAATATCATGGGGGTCGGGGATGAGGAGCTTCATTTTGCGAGGGCAAGAGACCGGTAATGTGTCACCTGTCATCAGATGAATTTTAGCCAATAAGAACCTCTCCTCCTCTTGGAGCTGTTGGTCTTTCTTGAGCTGGTTGCAATCAGGGGTGTGTGTCTGTGCGTTAAGGCTGTTCATTTTTGGACTGTCACTCTTTTTGGTGTGTGTGTCCTTGTTTAAACCGGAGCGCCACATGTCTTCATCTCTCATTTCAATACTGTTTTGTAAATCTGTAGTCATTTTTGTGTCATCATTTATCTTATTGATGTTCTTGTCAGTGTGTATGTTCGTGTGTTTGGTGTCAGAATGTATGCTAGCTTGGTTTGTGCTTGGAGGGAATGGCCAAGGCACCACTGATGACTGAGCAAGCTCTCCCTCCTCATTGGCTGCTACCTCCAGGGTGTGACCAGTTTTTGTGACGTCATCATCATCTCTCTGTGCTTTCATTGACTGTTTTTGTTCCCCACTATATTGTGGAGAAGGTTTGGCCCTGGTTGTCTGACTGATTTCTTCCACTTGATTAAACCCTGAAGGAGGTTTAGGATGAGTACGATCAACCAGACTGGTTTGAGAGGGTTCAGGTTTATTTGGCTGACTGGCAGCAGAGCCCTGGTAAAATGTGTGTCCACTGAAAGGGAGTGAGGAGGGCTTCTGGGTATCAGCAGAGGAATCGTGGCCTGAGCTGAAGACAGAAAAGGAGATTTCAGAGCTGAACCTAAAGGCTTAAGTGCTTTTAAAAAGAACTGACCGGCAACAGATCCAACCGCCATTTGCTTGTCATGCTCCATTCCTCTCTGGTAACATACCACCATTCATCTCACACAGCCAGAGCTCCATCTTGTTAATCTCAGAAAGGTCTGAAAAAACTTCCAAGCATAAAAGTTCTTTAGGAAGGACCCAGTCAGTTGTCAGCATTCTTTAAACCAAATCAATTTAGAGAAAATGAGTGTAGAGCAACTCTCTGTGGTTTTTCCAAAACTTCGCTAATCTCATGGCTGTCTCAAAAGCTTTCCAAAGGTTTTGACATCCCCATTGTTTGGACAAGATTTTCCCCAGGTCTGGCTATGTGAGACCACACCAAACTGGCCACACTTGAGGCATAAAAATATGTACTGAAATGCAATATATAATGACCAAGCCATTCATCCATGCTCACATGCTACTTGAGTACTGAAAATAGCCTTGCAATATTCCTTGATTTCAGCCGTGTAGACAGTGACAGACATGAACAGAAACATACAGAAGATGCAGATAAATCCATTGCACAGCTTCCCCTTTTTCAGGCTTGCTGCACTACACTGTAGTGTACACAGTGTAGTGCAGCAAGCACAGTTCAGTTCTCCAGATAGACTATGACAGCAGTACAAGACAGACTCAGTTTGTGGGGGGGTTTAGGCACTATAGGTTTCCCTAGACAGGTTTCCTTATGCAGCTGTGCTTTATATCCACTCATAATAGTATTTTGAAAAATTCATCACAATGCTATAAATCAGGGGTTTTCAAAGTCTGACACTGGCCCTCCCTTCAGAAATAATCAAGTCCCTCTCAAACCCATAATGCTTTGGGGGATGTTAACAGGAAGTATAATATTTAGACTGGAATTATTTGTTTACATTTTGGCAAATTGGCTCCATTAAAAGCATGCCAAATTAGACATTAGCAGCTCCTGTTTGCAGTTTACCCAGAAATACACAGACAGATCACTCGATTACTTTGATACTGAAGAAACGTGACGATTCTCAGGCAAGTTCTGCCTTATAAGGAGCGTCCCTTTTTAAAGCAGATTTATGGACATGTATTTGTGATGGATATCAGAGAAAAGAAAAAACTGAATCTAAAAATATGTGTATACTCAGATTTGACTGAGTTATGAAGGGGTGACTGTGGCTTAGGAAGTGCAGTGGGTTGTGTATTGATCACAGGGTTTGATCCCCACCTCCTCCTTTTGTCCTTGGGCAGAACACTGAACCAAATGGTTCCGATGCTCCAGATGGTTAGTCAGCACACTGTGTGGTATGCTACCTGTGGATGAGTGTGTGACTGGGTGAATGAATGGCACGAACCTTGTAACGCTTTGAAGTGCTCTATAAATGTAGCCATTTACCATTTATGGCTCAGAGATGGAGTGAGATAACTAATGGGCAACCATTGCCTCTATGAGCTGTGTGTCACAGCCACTGCTAGATCTCCAAAGGCTGACCATGTTGATAAGCAGGACAAATCTCCCTCCAGCCCCAACCCAACTCTCCCCTGTTTGGAAAAATCTGTTATAAGTCATAACCAAGACAAGATGTAAATAGGAAATTCCAGTTTGCTTCCCAAACAACATGGTAATGATGTTGTTTGGGGGGAGACATATGGTACATGAATCACATTCAAACACACAACTCGTTCTTGAGAAAGCCCAGTAAATGAAGGATAGCAATGCTTAGTAATGACTATTTCCCTGCAGACAGTGAGTCAGTCAAGCCTTGGTTATTGGAGGAAGCATCCATAAAAAACACCCAGGCACAGTCCTTTGATCCACAACAGGCAACAAGCAGATCTCTCTCATATAGCCAACTCTTTCCCGGTTACTCACCTCTCTCTCCCTGTTGCTATTTACCTTGCTCACAACTCTTACTCACCCTGCTTCCCCTTCCATGTACAGCTCAGCCAGCCAAATGGAGCCAAGATCTTCTTGTCCTCTCTCATACTCCACCTCCTCATCCTCCTCCTCTCTCAGCCACACTGGGATGCCACCAGAATTCAGGTTGGAATTGCCTTTTTTAACTGATCTCAGAGGGGGATTATCCAGGGTTTTCTTAACACCAATAACAGAGGCCTCGGGTTTGACTGATCTGGAGTTGGGCCTGTTTGTTGATGTGTCTGCAGGGACGGAATCTGCCGGCCTGGTCGAATTCAGTTTGACTTTAGTTTTAGGGTCAATCGTTTTCACTGCTTTTGGATCAGTCTTGCTTTGTGGCTGCTCTTCATCAGCCTGTAGCCTTTCATCATATGCAATATCATCCAGTTCTGCTTCCCTCAGAGGAGGCCAGGCATTTGATTGGTTGTTCACTTCCTGTTTGCTTTGCTGTGATGTAGAGCCCCATATGATCTCTTGTTTCTGTTGTGGTCTCTCTCCTTCGCTATCCTCTTCCCTTTGCCTCACCCTGCCCTCTTCTGCCTTTCTCTTCTTCTCCCTTTCCATTTGCCTCTTTCTGTCCACCTCCTTCTCTCTCCCTAGCTCTTCCCTTTCTTTTTCCACCCTCTTTCTCTCCACCTCCTTCTCTTTCTCCACCTTTTGCTTGTTCTCTAGCTCTTCTCTTTCTTTTTCCAACCTCTTCCTCTCCACCTCCTTCTCTTTCTCCACCTTTTGCTTGTTCTCCAGCTCTTCCCTTTCTTTTTCCAACCTCTTCTCCTCCACCTCCTTCTCTCTCTCTATCTTTTGCTTGTTCTCTAGCTCTTCTCTTTCTTTTTCCACCCTCTTTCTCTCCACCTCCTTCTCTTTCTCCACCTTTTGCTTGTTCTCTAGCTCTTCTCTTTCTTTTTCCAACCTCTTCCTCTCCACCTCCTTCTCTTTCTCCACCTTTTGCTTGTTCTCCAGCTCTTCCCTTTCTTTTTCCAACCTCTTCTCCTCCACCTCCTTCTCTCTCTCTATCTTTTGCTTGTTCTCTAGCTCTTCCCTTTCTTTTTCCACCCTCTTCCTCTCCACCTCCTTCTCTTTCTCCACCTTTTGCTTGTTCTCCAGCTCTTCCCTTTCTTTTTCCAACCTCTTCCTCTCCACCTCCTTCTCTCTCTCCACCTTTAGCTTGTTCTCTAGCTCTTCCCTTTCTTTTTCCACCCTCTTTCTCTCCACCTCCTTCTCTTTCTCCACCTTTTGCTTGTTCTCTAGCTCTTCCCTTTCTTTTTCCACCCTCTTTCTCTCCACCTCCTTCTCTTTCTCCACCTTTTGCTTGTTCTCCAGCTCTTCCCTTTCTTTTTCCAACCTCTTCCTCTCCACCTCCTTCTCTCTCTCCACCTTTAGCTTGTTCTCTAGCTCTTCCCTTTCTTTTTCCACCCTCTTTCTCTCCACCTCCTTCTCTCTCTCCACCTTTTGCTTGTTTTCCAGCTCTTCCCTTTCTTTTTCCATCCTCTTTCTCTTCACCTCCTTTTCTCTCTCCACCTTTTGCTTGTTCTTCAGCTCATCCCTTTCTTTTTCCAACCTCTTCCTCTCCACCTCCTTTTCTCTCTCCTCCCTTTGCCTGTTCTCCAGCTCTTCTCTTTCTTTTTCCACCCTCTTTTTCTCTACCTCCTTTTCTCTCTCCACCATTTGCTTCTCTCTCTCCACCCATTGCTTTTTCTCCAGCTCTTCCCTTTCCTTTTCCAACCTCTTTCTCTCCTCCTTTTCTTTTTCCAACCTCTCCTTCTCTCTACTCTCTGCCACTTCCCTCCCCTCCCTGGCTCTTTCCTCCCTCTCCATATTTTCTATATTTTCTTTCTCCCTTCTCTCCCTCTCCTGCTCTCTCATTTTCTCCTGCTCACAAGCTGCCAGTCTCAGACTTGCCACAAGACTTAGCCCATGTGACGGTTTCTGAGCTAACTCAGTCTGTTCACTAATCTTGTTTTCTATTGTGTCGGAGAAGGCTGTGGGTGGCGAAATGTCCACACCAATGGGAATCAGTGGATCAGAGGACTCAAGCACCTCTGCATCTACTTCCTGTAAACATGGCTGATCTTCATTATGTATAAGGAGGCATGGTTGGTCTGCAGATCTGTGTGGATGACCTGCATCAGTGGATCCAGTTGTCTGCAGCATGGAGGCCACTGTCTCATAGCTAAACGGACAGATACGAAGGACAGGGAAACATTGAGACAGGGCTCACTGAAATGACCTCTGCAGGCTCTGAACAGTGTGACAGAAAGCCACACAGCATGCTTGATTAAGTTCTTTTTTCTCAGACTTTGTTTTGGTGCTTGTCCAAAACACACAGAGGAAACATTTATTGCTGGTTGCACCAACAACCACAGTACTTGGTTTCCTAACTAGTGCACAACATATCAAAGCCCACTGGAATTTATGTCACCTCTGGCATGATTACGGAACAGGTTACATTTTCTGGTGCTATGCAGGTAAGAGCTCAGATCAGCTCAGAGAAAGATACACAGCAAGATACAAGACAAATTCTCTATAACACACCAAAATTCACAGCTCACTGAGTGAATTATAACGAAATAGCCAAAACGAAGGTTGATCAACCAGCGGGACGAACAGGATGTATTCTGGTAAATGGTGTGCAGGTATTAAACACCAAGCTTTTTCTACACTTCACTGAGGTTTTCCACAGCATTAAACACTAATGCACACTGTATGTGTAATGGCAAATGTAGCAAGCAACCCCCACTAGAGTAACTGCCATGGAGATAAAGTAATAACTGATCAAAATGTAATAAAATGTCTCTCTTAATAGACAAAGAAAATGTGCTAGTGTGCTAAATTTTTTATGAATGTTATGTGAATACTGTAAAAACATACTGCTACATTTCCTGGCCATTACAGGATTACTTTTATCTTTTAAAAATGTATCATAAATGTAATATCTTCTGATATAATAACAATGATATGATAATCAGTTAAAAATTTAATCATAATTTCAACTAAATTTCAATACATTTGATAAATCTAAACTCTATAATTATATTACTTCAGTCAGTTCTGTAAAATGTTATCCCTCTTTTGAGGTGGTGTTTTATAAAGCCTACTATTGTTGTTTTTACTGCATGATTTGTACATTTAGAGGGATATTTTATTGTATTTGACAAGTTATTGAATTATCCAAATTATTAATAGTTATTGGCAATATGCTTTGTTGTGTATTTAAGCTTGCTCTCTGAAAACCTTTTTGTATAATGCCTCACACCTTAACAAATCAGGCAGGCAGGGAGACTCACCCTCTATACAACACCCCGACTACTGCTGACATGAAACCAGCGGGCGCCTCCACCTGCTGCTCTGCAACACAAACATCTGCCTCTGTGTGTACACATTTGTGGGCACTACAACACACACAAACACGCACAGACAGCCCCATTCATACACACACACACACACACACACACACACACACACACACACACAAATTTTACTCTTTTGAAAAGCTCTCATCAGATCATTCCCATTAAAACGCGCACTCTAACAGAATAGACAGAGTTTGAGATGAACAGCATCGGATGAGGTTAATTGTAACGATTGAGTAAGCACTGGTGAGGCTGTTACAAGTTAGTCAGAACATGTGCAGGTGTGTGTGAGCGTGTGTCAGTATGTGGTGGTTTGCAAGCAAAACCAGACATGTCATGCCATGCTGCACAGGAACCGTCGCTGACTCACCCCCCTCTTACATCACCCTCCTCCTGCTTCTCCTCCTTCTCTTCAGTGCTCTCACTACTTTCCATCCCTCCCTCCGTTGTCTCCTCCACAGTCGCCCACAGCTGCTTTTCTGCCTCGCACACTGGCTCCTTATTGTCGGTCAAACTCTCCTGACCACCAGCCATGACGTCGACCGGTTTCTCCTCATCTGCTCCCTCCTGTTGTGGTTTCCCTGATAGCTGGAGAACTTGTTCCGGCCGCAGTTCTGGTTCTGGTTTTGAGGGCAGCAGCGGCTCCAGTTCCAAAGCCGTGCGCTCACAGGCGGGTTTGGGGGAAACCTTGGGTGAGGTTGCCGGTTCCACACTGGGTCCCTCTGGCTCTTTGGGCTCCTCTTTAACTGGTGGTGCGCCGGGCTGAGCAGGAGGTGGGACTATGTGATGTGTTTGTGAGTCTTTTGCTGTGATTGGCTGGTGTTCCTGCCTAACAGGAGTGTCTATCTTGACAGCGTCTTCTCTGTGTGAACTAGAAGAAATGAACAAACACATGAAAGATACAGCCATTACTATTTTATATTTGCTATGCTAATTATTACATCATTAGGAAGCCAAGCCACCAGAGAAGCAGACAGGCAGACACCCCCTCATCCATTCTTACCCTCTGCACAAAGGTTTTGTACCCTCCTTGGCAGAGGTTTTTTCAGGTGTATCTTGCCCACTTCTCCCTTCTAGTGCTTTCCATAGAGGAACCTCTGCATCAGACAGCCTCTGTGGAGGTGGCACCGGGGTCAAGACCTCTAATGTGATTGGTTTATCCTGAGAAGAGGGCTGAACAGTTGGGCTTGAACGGATGCCAGTTGGAGTACATGTGGCAGATATTTTCTTTTCTGGGACAACAATGTTTGACAATGAACCTTCCTTTAAGAGAGAGGGTTGGCCCAGACTGGAATGAGGGGAGAGAAACAGAAAAACGTAAAAAAAATTTTTTTAAAAAGGCAAGAAAGCAGGGGGCAGGTGGGAGAATTAAAAAAAAAAGTAAGTGAAACGAGGAAAAGCCATAATGTAATAACAGAAACACCAACAGTAGGGGTGGGTGATACCACAAAATTTGATACCAAGTTATACAACGGGCACGATCACTGACATTACACTTTTTATTGCTAGAAGTAGCTAGGAAATGTGTCATAATTTATTAGGTGAATGCATCATTACTATGCTACTTCTGAATACATTTTATGTTACAGTGAATAATTGTCAATTTGTCTTTTCTCATAACTATTCTATGTCAATCACATGCATGTTAAAACGGAAGGTAGCTTTTAATGCTAAATAATGTATGTTTATTGCGTGAATTCTCTGACCTAACACATGCACACACAACAGCCGCAGAAAAAGAAAGTGCCTGTAAAAGAGTGCAGCTCTAGCAAGAATGCTCTTAAAGCCCAAAATCTGTTGTATCATTCCACCTAATACTGATACTCAGAGCAAGATTTAGAGTCTGTAGTATCAATACTTTTTAAGATCAATTTGCTCGCCCCTACCACAAAGGTAATCACTTAAGTCTTACATGAGCAGAGAATCACAAAATAATCACCACAGAGAAATAATCAAAATGGAAATATTAAATGATTCAGCCCAACCTGATGCCACTTCAGTGCAGAAACGCAGAGCAACAAAAGTGACATTCCAAGTTTTTCAATGTTAACAGTGATTGATAATTTTATTTGCTGATTAAAAGAAAGCAGACCACAGCCAGAAAGAAGCACCCACAGTGAAAGCATTACTTTTTTACTTCAGTGGGGTAACTCACCGTTCACTGGAGTTTATGGAGGCAGAGCTTGTTTTATTAACTGATTGAAGGGCTGTCTCTCTGTCTTGTGATTGGCTGAGAATTTGTGACGGCGTAATGCTGGTTTTGTCCGGAGGAGGGAGGCGTGGAGCGGGAAGTGGAGCTTGTGTTAAATCCTTAGGAGCCGTGGGCATGAGTGCAAAGCTGGGTGGAGGGACTTCTGCTTGTGTGTTTAGTGGCAAAGAAGACAAAACCAGAGTTCTCATCTTCTGCTTGTCCTCATCTGACTTGTTGGCCTCCAGACAGCAGACCTGAGCTGCTCGAGCCTCCTTCCTCCTCTTGTCTTCCTCCTCCTCTTTCTTCTTTCTTCTGTCCATCTCTTCCTTCTCTTTCAGAAGCCTCCTTTTCCCTTCTTCGTCCTCCTGCTGTATTCTTTCTGCTTTCTCTTTCTCCTCTCTATGTCTCCTCTCCTCCTCTTCCCTCTTTTTCCTTTCCTCCTCCTTTTTCTTCATCTCTGCCTCCAGCCTTCTCTCTTCCTCCTGTTTCATCTTTTCCTTTTCTTTCTGCTCTTTCAAGAATCTCGCCTTCCTCCTCTCCTCTTCTTCATATCTTTTCTCCTCCTCTTTTTTCCTCCTCTCCTTCTCTTTCTCCTCCCTCTCCTTCTCCTCTTTGAACTCTCTCTCCTTTTTTTCCTCATCCCTCTTTTTTCTCTCCTCTGCTTCTTTGACTCGGTTCTCCTCCTCCTCCCTTCTCTTCCTCTCATCTTCGGCCTCCTTTTTCTTTCTCTCTTCCTCTTTTCTGCTCTCCTCCCCCTTCTTCCTCTCCTTCTCTGCCTCATTTTTCTTTCTGTCCTCCTCCTCCCTCTTTCTTCTCTCTTCCTCCTCTTTCATTCTCTGTTGCTCCTTCAGTTTTTCCTCCTTCAAGCGTTTCTCCTCCATCTTCCTCCTCTCTTCCTCTTCCAGAAGCCTCTTTTTCTCTTCCTCCCTGCTCTTTCTTTGTTCCTCAAACACTCTCTTCTCCTCAGTCATTTTCTCCTCCTCCTCTTTCATTTTCCTCAGGAATCTCTCTTTCTCAAGTTTCCTCTCCTCCTCTCTCCTCTTCATCTCATCCTCTGCCTCCTTTTTCTTTCTATCTTCCTCTTTTCTGATCTCCTCCACCTCCCTCTTCTTCCTCTCTATCTCTGCCTCGTTTTTCTTTCTCTCCTCTTCCTGCAGACATTTTTTCTCCTCCTCCTCCCTCTTTCTTCTCTCTTCCTCCTCTTTCATTCTCTGTTGCTCCTTCAGTTTTTCCTCCTTCAAACGCTTCCCCTCCATCTTCCTCCTCTCTTCCTCTTCCAGAAGCCTCTTTTTCTCTTCTTCCCTGCTCTTTCTTTGCTCCTCAAACACTCTCTTCTCCTCAATAATTGTCTCCTCCTCCTCTTTCATTTTCCTCAGGAATCTCTCTCTCTCAAGTCTCCTCTCCTCCTCCCTCTTAAGTTTTTCTTTTCCCCCCTCCACCTCCAGGAGTCTCCACTGCTGCTTTTGTTTCCTTCTCTCCTCCTCATCCTGCTTCCTCTGCTCCTCCTCCTCTCTCAGCTTCTCCTGTTTGTCCCTCCTCTCCTTCAGGAGTCTCTCCTGTTCGTGTTTCCTCCTTTCCTCCTCCCTCTTAACCTCCTCCTCCTCCTGTAAGAACCTCTTCTTCTCCTCCTCTAACAGTCTCTTCTTCTCTTCCTCGTGTTTTCTCCTCTCTTCTTGCTTCTGCTTCAGGAGCAAAACTGTTTGCTCTTCCTCCTTCCTCCTCCTCTCCTCCTCTTGTTTATTTAGGATTTCTGTCTCCTTTTGCTTCTCCTGCTGTGCATTCATCATCACCTTCTCCACTGCTGTTCCCTCTAACTTCTCTGTAAGTGAGGCCTTTTCAGTGGTTTTCTGTTCAAAACTGCAGAACAGATAAACAATATTCCTTTATCCTCTAGTTGTGTGTGCGTGTTTTTTTTTACCAATATCAGCACCATCTGTTCACATTTTGCAACCTTATTTTTTATGTCCTCGATTTTATCTGTCAATATGAATACTCACCCTGGAGGACACCTTTTAATAGTATCCCGCTTAGAGTCATCCTCTTCCAGAAACAAGCCCCCAGATTCTTGTCTCTGGTTAAATGACTCGAAGATGATGTCATCAAAGTCGGGCTCGGGCTCAGGCTTTGCCAGTGGCGGCTTTTCGGCCTTAAAGGCGCTAATAAAGCTCTGCGTCTCATTGGCTGGCTTTTTCAAACCAATCTCTGCCTGAACGTTTGGCTGCTTTGGTGTGATAAATGCCGCCACAACATTGGTGGAAGGTTTCTGAGGGGTGGAGCTTTCACAGCAGGAGAAGGGCCACGGAGGGGGCGGTGCTACTATCAGCTCTGAACGTGACTGGCCGGGACTGGGGACAGAAATATTGGAAGTCAGGCTGGAGAGATGAGTGGGTGAGATTTCACAAGGTTAAGGGTATAGGAGGTGATTAGAGGGGAAGCAGGCAGGCCACAGAGCAGACTATAGACTTGATAATTATGCTGCCGTGTACTAGAAGGTCAGTGCAATAGGGGACAGGTACAAAACACTCTGTAACTGTTAACACATGTTAGAATCAAGGAAGCACAAACACCAAGAACAAAGCAACCATGAGGACTTGAGCAACTGTGGTTTGTAGCCTCTCAATCCATGATCAACAAACATGGATAAACTGTTACCCAACCACACGTGAAGCAGGTGTGCCTCAGTCAGCATAAATATGTGTTATCTTGGATTTATTTGGACTACAGTGAGCTTGATAAGGTGCTGATCAACACTAAGGAGTCCCTTATGTTGCATTCTATGTTATGCGATTTTGGTGGAAGAATAACAATCCTTTTTTCTTCCCCAGTTCGTGATGCACTCTGAAGAACCTTCAGATACATTGATGTCAGAACAGCCTTGTAGCCAAGAGGCTCCTGAATTAGTTAGGGTAGTCTACAGCAGTGCAACTTAAAGGGATACTATTCATATCTTTCTGCTAAACAGCAGCTTCCACCAGCAGTCGAGTTAATTAGCATAAAACCTGGAAACAGGGGGAAAGCTAGCCTGGCTCAGTCATAACAAAATCTGTAAACCAGTACCTCTAAAGATCATTAAGTAGCTTTGTGTATTTTGTTTGTTTGGCTATGTGCAGGACTATTTCGAGGTGCAGTGACTTCCTGGACTTTGGTTTTTGTATGGCTTAAACAAGCAAGATATAACTTGTTAACTAGCTTTAGAGGCGCTTGTAGGTAGATTTTGTTACCTTTGGACAGAGCCAGGCTAAATGTTTCCAGTATTTATGCTATGCTAAGCTAACCATCTCCTGGTTGTTGTTTCATATTTAACTTTCAGATTTGAGAGTGGTATTGATCTTCTCATCTAACTCTTGGTAAGAAAGCAAATAATTATATTTCCCAAAAAGTCTGAGCTTTCTGGCTTTTCAAAAGCTTGTTATCGTTTCAAATACATTTAAACGAGTTTTGTCATCTATGATGTTTCTCCCAAGCTCTGGTAGTGCTGCCAGCGGTCTTCAGGATACTTGTTTAGCTTGGTGGTCTGCTGACGCATTTTCTCTTCACACAGCATTTCAAGGCCAAACAAATCACTAAGGATCCAAACCAAGCGATCTAAATGTAAACACTCATGTGATAACCTCCCATGACCTCACCTGATCCTGGCTGGTTCAGCTTTGTTTTCTGTGGTGGTCGTCTTTGAATCCTCAGCTGGTGTGTTTGGCTGGTTGGATGCTCTGATGTTGCCCGCCGCCCGGTTATTTTGAAGAGAAGTCTCGTCTCGGTGCAGAGGGCTTGGAGTTGTTCCCTTGTCTACTTGAGTGAGGGGGAACGTTGAGCCTATAAAGAGCAAAAGCAAGGTCAGACAATGAATTTTACACCAGTGATCCTTGCAAGAAAGGAATGAAAGTCTGGTCATTTTGTTGAAAACAACTTTCAAATTGGTTATTTTCATACATCAAAAAGGATGAGGTAATGGTCTTGGTACTGCAAAACATCCATAAACACTGAGAGGAGATTGTTTGATTAGTTGGTGGGTGTACGTGACTGACCGAAGCTGATCTGAGCGGGAGGAGCAGAAGGAGAGACAGCAAGCTGAGGGTGAGGGGAAGAGAATACAACAGAGGTGGAAAGAGAAGAGGGGCGTGGAAGGGAGGCAGTCGGGGCTGGAGCTGCTGGGTCACAGAGGGCATCAAGGTCAGGGCTACTCAGCAGAGGGACAGTGGTGATGTCGCCACCAGTTGGAGTGGAGTTAGATGTCAACCTCGCCCCCTTAGCACCTGAACCAAAGCAGGGAGGAAGGACAGGTAAGATGAGGTAGAGAGGGGAAAAGGAAAGAGTGAAATGATGGAGAAAGGTTGGGAAATGAAAGCAGCAGAGAGGAACAGAGAAAAATGCAGAGGCAAGAAAGAATAATACGTGTAGAGACTATGGAAGGACAGAAATAAGAGTTACCATAATTTTGGCATTGGTTACCTGACTGTGAGATAGAGGGGTGACATTTAGGAAGAGGAGGTGTTGAATCAAGAGGAGGGGCATCAGCAGAATAAGGAGAGGGAGAGGAGGGGCGGGCGATTGACTTGACAATCTGAGGTCTGAAAATGTGAGTACGGCCTAGTAGAGAGAACAGATCATGAAAGACGTTTTAAGCAAACAGAGAAGACAAGGAAAAGAGATTTGAAAAAGACTAGCATCTCTTTAGTTTAAGCAGGGACAAACCAGAGGCTGAACTTGGATCATCTGCCGCTTGAACCTCCGGGGGGCGCTGTTGATGTGAAACAGGAACTAAGGAGAGGAGAGCAGGGTGGAAAGAGGAGTGATGCACAAAATAAGGATACAGAGAAACCAACGTACATGTGCAGCTCAAATTAGAATTTTTTTTCTAGATTTTTGAGATCCACCTGTGTAGTCAGCGAGAGGCAAAGAGTGAAAGGGAAACAGCAGAGCTAATTTAATATCATGCATTTTACTAATTGTTTTACAGCACAGAAGTGATCTGATTCTGTCAGGAACAAACACACGTTTGCTGAATAAACAGTCACAAGGAACTTTACACTCCTTGATTTGGCTCTATTTGCTGCAGTGTGGCAGTCGACAGTTAACGTAATCAAAATGCTATTACTACAATATCATTAAGGCTAAATCCAATATTTAATTTTCTTAATGCTAATTCACTCTCCTCCTAATGGCATATACAGTACGAGGGTGTCATCTCAACCTTCAAATAAACCTTCATTTGATTTCTCTCCACCTCCTCCAGGACTGGATTTGTGAGTACAGGTTTCATTCGCAAGTAAGTTGGATTTAATTAAATGGAAGTTTACATCAAAGCTAAGGACATCCTAGCCTCCATCCTTCTTTTTGCAGACAAGACAGTCAAACCACTGAAAACACGTGTAGGATCCAACACTTCCCAAAATACAATAAAAAAAGTAACACAAAAACAAGCAGATAACAAATTAGGACATCTCAAATGACTGCACAACTTCCCTTTGTTCTTCAGCTTGTTGCGCCAGTTGTGTCTAAGTTCTAACTTATAACATTATTACTAAGTTGTGATTCATGCATTACTAAAATAAAAGCAGTTGCACCAGTTGTTACAATATTGCTCTAAATAACAACTAAATAGTTACACATGCCCCAGTGTAAGTGTACATCATAAAATGTCACAGAATTACACTCACTAATGGTCACATAGCATACTTTTTCATTTGCATGCCATTTCGCAACACAGTAATCCAGTAGAGGCCTATTTAATTGATATGACATTTCAATATCGAGCTTACTGCCATGTGCTACAATGCCAATGGCTCATGCCAGTCAGAAAGCACAATGTGCACAGTAACAGTGATGCTGGAACTGTACCTTTGATTATTAATTGGCTACCTGTGTTAGTTTTGACTTTACGTTCATACAGGTTAGGTTCTGTCCCCAAGTAATCATAGTGAAACCACTTTCAGTAGCTGATTTAGTTACAAACTAACTAGTAGTTACTAAGCCTCTAGTGTCTACTTTACACTCTAAGTTAGGGAAGGACTTGACATAGCTGGTGTCTATGAAGATTCTCATTCATCCAGGTCATAGTGTCCCTCATCCAAAGGACTTCTTCAGTTCTGAACTGAAGAAGTCCTTTGGATGAGGGACGAAATGTCTTCCAGAATCTTGAACCAAGTCCAGTTGCCCTTGACTTTAACCTTCGTTGGATGACATAGCTGGTGTAACCCAGTGCCAGTATTTATAACTCAAAATTCTGATATCGTGGCAACCTCATCATGCATGGCTCTTCCTCACAACACGTCATACTATACTTAAGTAGTATAATGCATAATGTATTTTATTTTGTAACCTAAAGTAACATGGCATGAAGCTAAAATCCTGTAAAAAACGAAGCCATCACACGTAAGGAATCAGTTAGTGGAAAGCATACAGCATGCCTATGTGCCAGCCAGCCTGCTAATACCTTTTCCTGAGCCTGACTGGAAGATTTTTGGCAGGGAGGGAGGCCGAGAAACTGTCCGGGTGAGTGGAGGGTGAGCAGATGGAGGCTCGAAGGGCAGGGTGGGCTTTGGGGGTGAGATGGATTTGGGTGGGAGAGGCTGGGCAGCAGTGGAGATGGTTTTATTGGTCAGAGTAGTGGATACAGTGAGAGAAGACTTTTGGGAAGAAGTGGTGGATGATGTTATGATATTCTTGGGTGATGACACTGCAGTGGAGGGAAGTTTGGGAGTTAATGAGGTAATACCTGCTTCAGAGGCACTGGGCGGCTTAAAGGACAGTTTAGAGGGGTTTTTTGGGAAGGAATTCAGGGGAACAGAAAGATCCACTGAAGTAGACACCGATTCAGAGCATTTGGCAGATGGAGGATGAAGGTAAGAGGAAGTGTTTTGGTAGTAAGGTGTGATTATGGGCAACTTGGAACTTGTGTCGGCTGGAGGATTTGCAGGAGAAACGTCAGAGAGAGGCAGGGCAGAGGAGGCACTCTGGATCGAGAGAGTAGCTGCTGTGACCTGGGAGCTTGGAGGATTAGGTAGTTTGTCAGAAGAAGCAGGAGCCTCAGGAAGAAGAAGGTTGGCAAATTTTTTATGCTTGGATCTGGGTGAGGGCTGAGGGGAGGGGCCGGGTGAAGGCTGTATCTCAGGGGTGGTGGTAAAGGGGTGTCGGCAGCAACGGGGCGAGGGGCGAGGACCAATAGGTAGAGGAGGGCGGGAGTGGACGGCAGGACTGGGAGGACCGCCATCACCTCCACAGACTGGATGAATAGATGGGAGAATGGATGGATGGTATGGATCGTTGAAAGTAGATTTTTGCAGAAAGAGAAATTATGAAAAAGACAGAAGGAACAGGTTATGAATTGAGAATGAAATGATGTTCAAAATTACAGTACTGTTGGGATCCCATGTCGTTTAATTGAGCTACCATCATGAGAATCCTTTGTTAATCACATGACTCGCTTGTTTGAGAGACACCACAAACAATATGGAACTGTGATGAACTGTGATGGAGTTGTAGCACATTTAATAGCGTTTACTTTTATTTCCCCTTATCATTTTACTCTACAGTACCTGCAGACATTTGCAGCTGATATGCAATGGAAACTGCAGCTTTCATGTAAGACCTCAACTGTCACTGAATTTAATTTGAATTTCAAATACGACATGCTGTTTAGTTTCAGTATTAGAGTCGCTGTGTTTTAAAATTTCAAATGGCAGTCAATGACAGTTGATTAATTTGACTGCATTTCAGCAGCTACTTGTACTTCACTTGAATATTTACTTTTTCTAGTACATTATACTTATACTCCACTACATTTCAGAGGGAAATATTGTACTTTTCCTTGACTACATTTATCTGACGTCTAGTTAATGGTTACTTTGCATATTTTGCATTATTTTTCAAACAGAACACATTCAGCTTTTCCAATAGAATTCACTGTCCATTGGAAAAAAATCCCTCCCTTTTATAAAGTAAATTTAGTCTAGTCTAGTCTGGACACAATGTAGAAGGGGATATTTCAAACCATTTTAATGCAGATTAATACTTTATTTCTAAAATAAACATTTTTTTTCTTTGTTTCAAGAAAAAGATGCTCGTTTTAAAAACTTTAAATTAAAAACAGGTTGAAATAAAGTTTTTAGGACTCTTAGACGGAAATGTCTTTGTAAGAGTGGATATTTTTGCAGATTGTTGTTACCCTCCTTCTGCTTAAAGAAGTGGTATTATGCTTTTTGTCTTTTTCCCTCTCCTTTATTATATATCTTTTTTGTGCATGTAACAGGTTTGCAAAGTGAAAAAGCCCAAAGTCTGGCTCAAAGGGAGTTCCCATCTCCCACAGAAAGCTCTGCTCTGAACCGCTTGAAAACAGCTCGTTGGTAGTCCAGCCCTTCACTTCCTTTACTTGTGACGTCACAATGAAAATGTATCATAAAGCTTGCCAAGCAGCTAGCGGTGTCAGGCACGCCCTCAAACCAAGTTAGTCTGAGCAGAGGCCCTTTGGCTCGACTCACCTTTATTTGGGTTTCCATTGTAGAAATGTTGTACCTGTACCTGCTTCTAGGTAATTTTTTTCATATCACCTCACCTCCATCGAGGTTCCAAGCGAGCTGAGGGATACTAAAATGTAACATGAAAATACAACAGACTGCTGATTGGTCAGAGAGAATCGTCACTATTCACTGCATCATCATTGCTTGCACCAGACAGAGGCCAGCAACAGAAAGTTTTATATTTTACAGTTTTCGTAAGGAATTTCATCACTAAATCCACTTCTGAGAAGTTTTGAGGTGAGAAATCAGCTGTGTAGATTTCGAATATTGATCGTTTTACGAGAAGTGATGGTGGAACAAAAATGGGCTTGAATATTTGAGTTGAGGAGCTCCGCAAGTGGCTGCGGGGGAAGTCTGTACCAACCTGCGGGGGGAGCGTGTGAGGCCGGCCAGCCGCCCGCTCACAGAGCCCTCTGCTCCTGCCGTCAAACAGACCGCTGCAGCAACAACAGCAGAGGAAAACACAGCTGGAAGGTTTTCATACCGCTTATCTGTCTTTACATTCTGAGTAATGTTGAAACGTTTTAACTTAAAAAAAGAGAAACCTGTGTGGATCGCTGGTGTGTGTGTTGCATTGAACATTACGTCGCGGCAGTTGTGTGTGTGGTGTCGCTATGACGACAAGCTACATACTATCTCTGGGTACTATCTGCAATGGAAAACGGAGCAGGACCGAGTAGAGTCGAGTCTATCCATTTGTGCTATGGTAGCATTTTTCAGCAAGGCAGCATAGATCGTCAGAGCAACAGTTCAATGTTTAGTCCTGATGGTAAGATGTGGAATAATGATGTTGTGGACTTGAGAGTAACTTATACCATCTGCTAGGTTACGGTCTCAGTCTGAAGCGGCTTTGATTTGGAAGAAACACTACCTTGTTTCTTACGACCCACCCTTCTCTGCTTCTGATTGGCTAGTAGTCCTTACCTGGGAACTGCGCATGTGCAACTCCCAACAAAGATTTTGTACAAGTAAGATGCATCACTCTGTAGCTCAAGAGCGGAGCGTACAACACATAGGGTGAAAAGAGGAGCTGCAGCAATGTGCAGTATGAGAAAAATATGGTGTTTTTTGAAAATTAAACCATGTAAACCTGTTCTGGTACAACCCCTAATTAAGATTTTGAACCTGAAAATGAGCATAATACCACCTCTTTAAGTAAATGACCTGCATACTTTTGTATATTCTGATAAAAATATATGCCTATGTGCAATTAGATTTATTTAGCATTTGTTGCTTTTTGCATTTTTTTTAACATTTCACTACAGTAATACTACTGTACCAGCAAACAGAGACACCACAAAGACATACAGTAAACATTGGATGGACCATTAACATGTAATTTCATTCATTCTAAAAAAAAAAAGAGTTAAGAAGCAGTCTGGTGTCAGAGTTATGTTAATTTGTAAGTACACTTTTTTTTTTTTTTTTTTTACACATGTACACAATTTTCTCAATTTACCTTTTATTACTGTAATGTATCTCTAGACACTAGAACTTCTGTGGGCCATGTCGTAGCTACAATGCCTCCAAACAAACGTCCAATACATTGGAGGCTTAAGTCTGTCATCACATGATTCTCAATAGCGTTTAATGTCTAGATGAGAAATATGTGGTATGCAGAACAAATGGCATGGGTGTGTAAAATACTGTAATATAAACTGAGCCTCCCGATAACAGACAGAGGGAGAGAGAGAGAGCGTTCCTGGCCACACCTCCCTCTTTCTAGCAAGAGGAACAAACAGCAGGAACAGGTGAAAGAGAAGGGCGAAGAAGAAGCTACCTGAGGCTGTAGCAGCGGGTCCAGTGGGGTTTCGTTTGTCAGGTGGAGGGGGAGCAGGACGATTTGGGCGAGTTAGAATGTGTGGAACTAATGAGTTGAGCAGAAGAAGTGGCAGGGGAAAAAAGAGGTAGAGGAGGAAGAAATGTCAGAGCTACGATGCGAGGAGAAAATTCATAGAGATCAGAAAGAAGAAGCAACAGTTTGTGTAAGTCTGCCTACCTGTAGCAGTGACAGACTTCTTGTCCTCCTCTTCATCGCTCTCATTGAAGTCATCCAGGTTGCCGATATCTGTGGGTTTGAAACTCATCAGGCTGGCCAGACTCTGCATGTCTTCATCACTGAGGAACGTAAAGGACATGAGAACAAACATTTATCAAATCATTACTTAGTGATCCTTTCATGAAATCTCCATAAACAGGAAAACAATCAATTAGTACTTAGGCATCATAAAAAACATGTTGTCACACCTTTAAATAGGTCTGTCCCAATAACAAAAACTACCATAATAATGGGAAAAATAACTCACGTGGCTTTTCCCTCACGAACAAAGACGCATGACAGCGACAGCTTGAGCGTGGCATCCACCACTTTGACAGACAGTGGCTTCAGCTTCAGTGTCAGGTCCGTCTGGGTTGGCGTCGGACTGGCAAACCGCTTCAGGTTGATGTCTGCTGATGCCAGCACCTTACGATGCCCCTTGTTTTCCTTTAGGTGGCCAAAACATCCATGATAGTATTTTAAATCATGTCAATTTAAAGATTTAAAAGCAGAGGTGGAGGAAGTATTCAGCTCTTGTACAAGTAAAAGACTTGCATGAAGTATTAGGGCAAAAACATGTCATTTAAGTATCAATAGCAGAAATACAGCAGAATAATCCATGTCAGTGTTATATTATATTGTTGGAAAATAATTATGCAACATGTAAGTAGTACTTTAACACTGTAGTCGCTTGAGGTGGAGCGAATTCTGATTATAATTCTAGGTATTGATCATATGTTTTGAATGTACAATCTTAAATAATTACAGCTGTGAAATTAATGTAGTGCAGTAAAAAGTGTAATACTTTCCTCTAAAATGCAATAGAGTAGAAGTAAAGTATAAGATACTTACACCCTCAATGACAAAGGTCCACTCTTTGTCCTCAAACTCATCAGCATTGACCTCCTGTAGCGATGAGAGCAAACAATAAGCATTCTCTGCCCATTCTCCTTCACCTATGTGTCTTCCACCCATTCATTTCCTTGTAAATATTACCATGTAAATGTGACACATAAATATGATTATTATACATCTGTGCTTTATTTATATTTATTTATTTATTATTATACCATATCTCACTTAACTGTCTTCTTTTTTCATACTTGTACATAAGTGTGTATATATATAAAGTCACTGTATATTTATTCCTAACAGTCATGAATGCAAATCAAGTGAAGCACCCTGCCACATCAATGACAATATACAATAGCTTGTTAAGTTTTAGTAATTTGTTTTTATCATTCTTATTATTTTGTGATTTGTGGGTGACTTGACTGCTGTAATGCTGCAATTAGCCATCGGGATTAACAAAGCACACTGAACGCTGCTGTGGGGTTGAACCATTCTTCCAAAATATTTTCCATAGACTTTCAATTAGCCATAGCATGTGATTATATTTCTTCATTCATTTATTTTGGTTTTGCACTAATTAGTCTGTATGTGTACAGTATGTGTAAACAGTGTATTGGGTTTTGTACCTTGAAGAGTGTAACAGAGATGTCAATGTTCTCTGGGACAGGCCACACCACCATGCCCCTGTAGGGGTTCTTGATTCCAGGCTGCCAACTGTGGAGCTGCACAACAAACGGCATAGTGAGACTGTGTGTGTGTGTGTGTCTGTACGTGTGTGTGTGGCGTTTCAGTGGTTTCACCTTGGAGCACATGCGTCTGTTCCTCCTGGTCCACACCACCCTTAACTTGTCCGGTTGCCTACCGAAACATACAAACATGGATCAAAACACAAATACGACAACTTCACACATTCTGTGAAAAAAAGGCTGTTCAGAAAACCATTTTAAGACACATGGTGTCTCATGTTTGAGCTTCATTAATTAATGTCTCCAAAGAAAGTGGATGAAAGAGGATACAACTGAGGCAACACAAGGTCTAATAGAAGGTCTTATGACTGCTGAATAATAATGCCTTGGAGTCAAAGACCAGGCATGGATGTGAGTGTTTTAGTTTAGTTCAGTTATTAATATTAACACTTCTGAAAATATGCCAGTTAGCCAGAAAGGTTGTTGTCCCGAGATGTTAATAAAAGCAATGCAAATACAATCATAAAAGCGGTGACAAATATGCAGATATAAACAGAGCCTGCACAAAACAGAGACAAGAGGGACAGTTACTATGACATACTGGTGGTTTGGGGATTTCGTGTCTTATTTTGGGGGGTTTTGGTTCCACATCATGTGTTTCTACTGTTCTGCCTTGTTTATGCTTGTTTATTCTGGTTCTGAGTTTTAATTCTGTGTCTCAGATATTCAATCTAGTTCCTAGTTTGTTGTTTTACATGTTTTCTGTGGTCTGTTTGTTTCTTTCGTTGTTTTTAGTCCACATGTCAGTCTGTCTTTGTCTGTGTCCTCATCTGTTTCTGCATTTTAGATTGTTCAAGTGTACGTCTCACCTCAAGTTACAGTTTGTTTATGTGTGCCCTGTTGGTTCACTCCATGTGTCTGTGTTTTGCCTTGCTCCTTGTTTTATTCTGAAGTTATTTGCGTTTGCTGTCTGTGCCTAGTTTTGCTTCCTGTCCTGTTTTTTTACCTTGATGTGATCTACCTGTTTCATGATCCCACCCTGCTCATTTGCCTTAGTATTTAATGCCTGTGTTCTGTTCAGTCTGTGTCGGATTATTAGATTAGATTTTATTTCTAATCATCAAGCCTCTATATGTTGTGGAGAAGGGATGGTAGTTGGCACAGTTTCTTATGTGTTGTGGTATGTATGTGTGTGTTTGTGTGAGTGTTGTTGGCTGTGAGCACATGGTATTAATGTTTAATTTGTCTATATCCATTGGTAAAACTGTGAATGTGTGTACAGCATGTGTGTGTGTATTTATGCAGCTTCATGCCTGTAACCAGGCCACACGCTGTATGATTTGTGTGTCTATGCTGTGTGTTGCTGCTCTTTTGTATATGTGTGTGTTGGTAACATGTGTACATGTATTGTAATTTCTCAGTACTCTACGACACAGGAAGTGAAACTGGAAGCTGCAGGGTCATGTGACCTGCGTCTATGTGAATGTGAGGCGTGCCTCTTGACAGGAAGAAGGAACCCCCATCACAAGAAACAAACACACACGGACACAGGCCCCCGAATAATATCAGTACACAATTAGAAATCATAGCACTCTTCAAACGTCACAGCTCCATTTCACCATTTCAACACCTACGAATGTTCTTTAGAATATTAATAGTAATAGTTTATACATGCTGAATATTGTCTCAAGTTTCAGTGTATAAATAGGGCTGTGTGTGCATGTGTTTATGTGGCATGTGTGTTAGGGGGTCAGAAGTGGCATCAGAAATAGCATTACAGGCACAGAGCGAGGATAATGGAGGGCAGAGAGGAGGAAGACGAAAAGAACAGCAAACACAGGAGACAAAGTATGATCCGAAACACAAAGACACAACCACATCATCGGTACCAGTGGGAGCATGAACAATGGGCAATGGCGGAGTTCTATGACTGGATTGACGCGGGCAAACATTAGTGTAATACATTTTAGTAACATGTAATTACTGTACATTGTGGTTGGTGTTTTGTTATTCAGCAGACAATGGTTATATTCCACAGCTGACTAGATGAGCAATAAACATTACCACCCTCCATCTGTAAAATTACTGTAAAAATTAATATATCTCATACATTTAGACATTTACAGCCAGTAAAAAAAATTAACGTACTCAACCTAAACCTATCTCATGTTTTTGCGACATGAAGCATTCCTGGTGTTGCTATAAAAATAGTGTTGTTGCTAAGTCTTTAATTATGTCCGTGCCACTATACTGTCAACATCACTCATTTTCTGACTGTTGTCATGTACAAACTGCTAGACCTTTCTTATCATTGGCTCCTCTGTGTTTTTGTTTTCCTTAAATGCAACAGAGCTTGTGATGGAGAATATCTTCTTCTTCCAGTCTATGATGCAAATAACATACACTTGTCTTTAGTATCACTTTAAAAAGCAATTATGGATCTTTATGGCCACTTTGAGGCAGTGGAAACATGTTGTGAAGACAACAATGACCTATTATCCACAGTTACAGAACAACTTGATCATTCATTTGGAGTCGTGTTTATGGCCACCAGTGTTCACTCTCTTGTATCTTGTTTTTTGGTCTCTGCCAACTCCTGAGGGAAATATTTGACTCTTTAGCTGCTAAATGCACCCTTATGTTCACCAGCTAGTCACTAACTGTGTCTGTCTGCTGTTTGGTGATGAGCAGGTTGTGGACAAGATGAAACCTAAACAGTAAAGTTGCTGACTGGACAGCGAACAATGGCCTGAAACTTGGCTTTATGGAGGTTTACAGCTCCATAAAGCCAAGCTGACCTGCATATTCAGGTGATAATTCTCGAAAGGTTCATCACTATTAACTCTTTTTATTGTCACATTATCATTTGATACATTGTTAGTATATGTTGACTATAGCTGCTTTAAATGTTTGATTAATACAATAGGAATACCTCATTACACTTGCACATTTAGCAGTGCAGTCACATTTCCAAACCACATACAAGGTGTAAATATGCATCTCAGTAAAAGGTCTGTGTGGGTGATAGTCTCTAAGAAAGCCAATGGTCTCAAATCATAGCAGTACCCTCACCCCCTCCCCAAGAAGAAAAACACACACACACACACACTTGTCTACAATCATGTGAGACATGTGGCCAAGGGTTAATTTCCTGCCTCTGATGTTTGAAGTGATCTTTAAGTGTCAGTAACCTCTGACACCAAATAGAGAGGAAAGGAATATGACTGAAACTTTGGATTAATCTTTGGTCATTTCTCACTTCCTCTATTTTTCCTCCTTCTCTCTGTGGTTCCTGACTTCTGCCTCTCCGTTTGAACAGCTCACTGGTGAGTGCTTATGAACTTTGATTTCATCACACTGTTTGTGGGAGTTGTCACTCTTTCTTAATCACTCTGTACCTTCCCTTCTCTGTGTCCAGACAACACATGCTCTCTACTGATCGAACTCTGAAACTTTATTGACAAGACTCTGTGTGTTTCTTATCGTGCTGCTGACAAGTCACTTACACAATTAATCCATACTTCAATGCAATCTGGACAGATAAGAAGGAGCAGTGTGGGCCACACTGACATGTGCAAAGGTTTAAAGATATTGATAAACATCTTTGTTGAATATCAAAGAATGTAAGTTGTTTTCAAGATTTTTTAACATAAATAAAAAAGTTAGACAAACAGGCTCCAGAACAAGGAAACAAAAAAAGATTTAGTGATGATATTATTATTATTATATTATTCCTAGGTTCCCCTTTTGAGCTCTCTAGAACCCTCAAACTGACTGATTTGATTTATTTTCTTCTGTACAACGTCAGAGCTAACTAATGGTCCATGCTGCATCACCTGGCCACCTCTCAGATGTTTTGTAAAACAGGAAATGTGATGTGATTGCGTGCCTGAAAAATAAGAGACAAATGAGCCCACTTTTGTGCTTCTAATGATAGCGATATTGACGGTCAATGCAAAACTAAATCTTGCTCAAAATGTAGATTGTAGATTGATTGCCTGTATTTGTATACATTTTCAAATGAAAAGTGATAATAAAACACTAGCCAGACACTAACAGCACGGACCATTCACTGTCATATTGTGCCTGGCAGAGCTAATGTCTCTGTACAAATGTTCATTTTAATATCATATGATTTAAAACGTTGCTATTTAAAGATATTGAACGTACGTGGTGGGCTGTTTACTGCCTGTCTGACATACACACAAATGTTATCGATAGTGTAGGTCGGGAATCGAACCCGTAGTCATTCACGTAGCCGACAGTTTAGCGCATCGGCTACGTGAGGGACGCCCTCTTCGCAATGTAGCGGAAAGACCCAATAACCTACATGAGAATGAACACGGACATACATGAGTCTTATTATAGCTAATATACTAAACAAACTATCCTGGGTTGTTTGCATCTCATACAGCTAAGAACTTTCATATGCGACAGGGCAGAAAAGCTCTTAAAAGTCATTTCCAAAACTCACCATTTCTTGGTACACTCCAAAACGAGTTCCTGGTAAGAGGCAACAAACTGAAACTTTGAAGCCTTTTTGCCAACTCGCTGCAGTCTTTTCCATACCGAAGTCATGACTTCCTCTGGTTAAATAAAACTTAACAGGAAAAAAAGAAAGAAAACACACACAAACACACTCCTCTGCGCAACAATAATCCGACGTTGCCCGCTGCCTCCTTAAAAGTTCCTTAGAAGGTCTTCTTCTTCTGCTACTGCTGGTAATGATGATGATCAATTTCACACAAGCTGCGACTCGCGCTCATAGGCAATACCTTGAATCACACTCAGAAAAAAAAGTAGGCTCACGTCGCCATTTACCGAACAGAAAGTGCTTTATAAGGAAAGTGGATAATTAGGACGCAGCATCAAAGAGGAACCGATTCCGCACTGCTCGCTATCATTCACACAGGCTAAAGACGCCTGACATGAAGCTAAAGTTTCAACCAAACAACTGCAGGCGCTCTCATATGCAACTTCTCTCTCCCTCCCTCTGGTAGCAATCCACATGGAGACAGCACCGCTCAGTCAATCCCTGCCGTAATATAGGTCTGCTGCCTCGAGAATTAAAGTTCACCCTCCTTCTTTCCGTCAGCCTGAGCAGGCAGTGGCAGAGAGACAGGGAGAGAGTGAGACAGGATATGCAAAGAGTCCTCTGGTGATGCAGCAGAATGCAAAGTTCTTTATCTTGCTGCTTATAGGCAGTGTGTGCAGGCACTGAGGTAACAGTCTTCAGTCATATACCCCTAGACTTTGATCTGGATTGTCACTGGAACAGGCTTATCTGACAGTCACTGATTCATTTCAGCTCTACAAACTCAAGATCTCTTTTAGGCTACAAGGCCCACAAGTTAAGGCATAAAACAGGCTATATGACACCCATTGTTTATTTAAAAATGAGCTCATAGTTATAACTCAAGTCACTTCCTGCGTTTCAGGCATGTCATGCAAAAGAAAAGTGTGTTTCATCCAGTTAGCGGCAGAAGTATAGTTTCCATGGAGAGGGCCAACCGAGAGGGCATGGGGATTTTCCTCAGTGAGAGCAGGAGTGTATTTTTAGGTAGGGGGGAACAGGGATGGATGGATGGACAGAAGCAGCTGGGGTGGAGGAGTGCAGGGCACAGCAACTCTCTCATGACTCAGAGTTTGTCTAATATTACACTGTGGGTACAATACTCTGAGGTGTTTTATTGCTCTCAGTACGTACAGGTTGTATTTTCAATTTTCTTCCTTGTAAACAAACCTGACCACCATATTTGATGCTTTGAATCTAACACAGACCTTTGTATTGTCCCATAAAAGTGACCTCCCATGTGCGTTTCTTGCCTTGGAGGAATTTCATTCTCACATTTGTTTATTTTTTCAACCTTTTCCTGATCTCACCATTGATTGTATTGCACTCTCTTACATCACACACACACACACACACACACACACACACACACACACACACACACACACACACACACACACACACACACACGTGCACACACACCTTACTGTCCTCCCTAGCACTCTGTGCTGACCTCCAGTCTGATGTCTATTCATCTTAATAATCACTCACTTTAGCACACTGTTAGTGTACTTACAGTAACTGCGTGGTGCGATAATAACAACAATAGCCAACATGATGGGTGACCGAAAACACAGAAATAAAGGCGCAAACATGTTAGAGGAAAGAAAGTGCCACACAAACATGAGTCGCGATGCAGAGATGGAGACAGACAGAAATGGACAGATTCTAACAATAACCACAACATGTGTTGATTATAAATAGACAACAGCATGAGTCCTTCTGCTCAAACATCACTCCCCATCATTCCTGCTGTCTCCACAGCAAATGGTTTTCCCCCAGTCTGCTGCTTTCAACATGACCTCAGAGGAGGAAGCCTTGACTGGATACAGTGTGTCCCCTGTTGGTCATATTTTGCAATATCATCCTCTGATTTACTTACTCAAACACAGAAATGCTGTTGTTTATGGTCAACTCTGTAGTTTATTTGAAAGATTTAGATAGAGAAAAAAAGCATTTCACTGGATTTTTCAAACCATGTCCTGTCTAGGAAACTGTAGTGATTCAATCCAATACTATTTAACAGTATCCACTATGCAGGATGTGTTGCTTTACTTTTGTGTAATATTTCTATGTCTTGTTCGAAATGTTTGGGTTGTAGAAAAAATTCAATATAAATATTCAAAGTTGGAAGGAGTTGTGAAAAAAGCTCACGACTTATGGGCAGTTGATGACTTCATCCAAAAGCCCGGAGTAGAATCCCAACAGAATTAACCTTTAGCTTTGCCTGATAGAAATCTCCCAAAATGTGCCTTTTTTCCTCTCAGGTTTGTTTTGAGTATGGACTGGTGAAATCTCAAGATGAAGCAAAATGTATTTTAGTAGGTAAATAACTTCTGGAGCAGTTCCTTACTGAGATAAATAAAAACACTCACATCAGTGTCACTGGCCGACATAAAACATGAGGTTACAAAAGACTATTTCAGCAAAGCCAAGTTTCTATATGATTAATAAAAGATATAAAGATGTTCAATTATGCTGCAGGGAAGATACTGAGCAGACATTTTCTTATCTTATAATTCCAACATGAAATCAATCAATTTGGAGAGATTTATACATAATTTTCAAAATAATTCCTCCTCATATTTAGGTGAGAAAAATGTGTATGCTCATGTCAAATGCTCACAGAATTAAAGACAACACAGATTTTTGTCTGTTCTTCTGTCAAGTAAATACTATGTAACAGGAAAGATTATCCCTCTCGATTTACACAACAGGGACTGTGAAGTCTGGGATTATCAGGAAACCACAATCAAACATTTCATCCCACAACTGCATTCACAGACGTCACACTATTTCACCCAGCTCAATTTCACTGCCAAGCAAGCAGCATGTAGTAGCATGCACATTATGCAATGAAGAGCAAAAAGATGATAACATCTGGTCTAGTCTCATCTTGATTTTTTCCTCTTTTAGTTGGCTTTATTTCCGCTGCAACATACAACAGATGGCAAAGTCAACACCAAGGTAGTGCATGTTTAAATGCAAATAAGCGGCCAGTTAACAGAGCCACTGTTTGCTTTCATTTGACTGGCCCACAGCCAGATTTTTTTTTAATGAACCCACCAGTGTTTGGACGCAGTTTAAAAATGTACATTACCCACCAATCCTGATATGCAGCGTACGTGCAAACAAGTGGAGGAACGAAAAGTAAAAAGTAGGTGCAGCTATGAATCCAAACACTATAGACTGTTAGGGCCACTATTGGCCCCTTAATGCTTCTTGAACTTGCAAGTGTAACCAAGACATGCTAAAGCTGACTATCAAACCTGATTTTTAAGATGCAGTGGAGTGTAAATGCATCTGCAAAGGCCACGTATGTCATGTGCTTCTCCCAAAACCCTTCCAACCACATCAATGGGATGTCTAATAAAGTCACTCCTGGTTGAAAAGGTGTCAGATAAATGCAGACAGATTTATCAAACAGGCACTGATTTTAGAAAGTGTAAAAACACAAGACTACATACTGGACATATTCTCTGAACAAAAGCTAGTGTAAATGGGGCCTGAAGGTAGAGTAAGGAACTTGTGTGTCTGTATCTTCATTAGGGAATATGAAAGGAGTCCTTGATCCACTGGTCCCTGGTGTTGCTCCTGGGTGGGGGCAGAGACAAGGACAAAGAAGATGAAGGCTGTGAGAGAACTCCAGTCTCCTCCTCATCTTCATACTCCTCCGAGCATCCATTATCAGCACTGAAGGAGGCCTCAGACATAAGCGAGGACGCCTTGTGCTCCTGGATAGCCTCGTGGAGGGACCACAGCTGGCACAGCAATGACACTTCGAGTTGACGCAGACCGACCTGTTGCACAAAAACACAAAACATCTGTTCTGGCCATCATCGATTAGGTTAAACAACGGATGAGGAAAGTAGTAAAGGGCAATCCACGGGGGTGCTATTTAGACACACAGATGCAGGCAGGATATTCGGAGAACACCTTACCATCTCTTTCCGCAGCAGAGCCAGAGCAGCGTCCAGTCCGCCCGGCTTGCTGTGACCGCGTGGCGCATCCCCGCCACCCCGGCTGATGTCGGCCTGGATGCGCGTTCTCCTGCTGTGCAACTTCTCGATGTCCCGCCAGGACCCGGCGCTGGAGTTCAGGATGCCGCTCAGGCCCCTGGGCAGCGGCGGCAACCCCTCCACAGAGGTGACACCGCCCACCGGACAGTCCGCCGCGCTGCCCCGACTCCCTTTCATCACGACGTTGCGCAAAGGGGACACAACGCCACAGTTTCTGCACGGATCTCTCAAGAAAGCAGGACAAGGATCACTGTCAAAGGCAAACACAGAATGCGTTATGATGTCTCGCCGTCACCCACGGGTAGCCTACTATTTCCCCCTCTCTCCCGCTGTTCAAAGACAAAAGTAGGCCAAAGCACCCCTGTTTTGTGGATGTGAGTGGGATACAGCAGTGAACTCCGGCTTCCTGTCTTTGTTTTGTTTCCTTTCCTTTGTGTCGGAGAGTTCGCTGACAGCTCCCGGCTCCGCCCGGCCGTGACCCCGTCCCGCCCCACTACAGTCTATGTCTGGGGTTTGTTTGATTGAACGGGATTACTATTGAGATACACTTTAGACACGACATAAAGAAAGTAAGTCAGGCTTTTCCATCACTGGTCATCATTTGGTAGACTGATAAATTAACCACATTAAAGAAACTAGTAGGCCTAAATAAATAAATGCGTCAGTAGGCCCTAATTTAATGTGAATTGTGTTGAAACAAGTATGGCTGCAGTGGTAACTCATTCACATGACACATTTTAAACAGAAATACAATTTACTTGTTTATTGATGCTTAAAATGGTACTTATTTAAATACAGCGTTTTCTAATTAACAACCTTAATGGCACTGTTTTGCATTTGGCGCCCTCTTGTGGATAGAAACAAACTGCAGAACTCCTGAACAGGTAAGCTTCAGGTACATAATTACAAAACTCATAACTGCCTTGAAAAATACTGAAGCTGGCTTTTATCTACGGTGAAGTGCTGTCTATCGATGAACAGTGCAGTTTATTTGCTCCAGATGTCTTTAGTGAATAAAGAATCACGAGCCTGACTCCTGAATATTGCCCTGTCTCTTCTGAGCATCACTCAAATCACATGACCATCATCATGTATCAAATATATTTACAATAAAAACCTCAGAACTGCCAGCACACAATGACAATCTCTGAATCAGCAGAGGGTTAGATACAACAAATCTATCCGAGCATCAGACTTAACAGTAAATCGAAAAATGCACCGAGGGTCCCATCAGAGGACTGGTGTTTAACAATGTACCAACAGATCATACATTTGAAACGCTTACATTGTAGTGCTTACAGCATTGGCATTTAAGCAATGGAGTTTTAGTTTTTGTTTGAATTTTGTGATTTGCAGCATGTTTTGGATACTATGTAACAACCAATCAGAAAACAGATGTCATTTCCCCAGATGTGAATTTGGTGATCATTTTAGATTAACCAAAGGCAATCATCTATGTAAATACATTACCAGTCCCTTACTGTATAATACAGATTAGGATTTGTTTAATGGTCAGATGGTTTTAATTGAATAGCAATAATGTATTTATGTGTATTTAGAAATGTTCAGTTCTGTCAAGTCAACTGTTCAAACATTTGTAACATATTTTGAAACCATGTAACACGATATTTCTGCCAGCCATATAGGTATGTTAACTGAAGAGCAATTTATGCACTTTGACATTTTAATCCTTTAATCGTATTTGAAGTGCATTTCACAACCAATTTTGAATTCAGCTCTATGCATTGATTCAGTCATAGAGAGATACTGCAAAGCAGTGAACCAGAGTCAGTATTCCAGGAGAGGCAAGTAGAAAGAGCGTTCCCGTTAATCCATGGTTTCAACCTTTTCCATGGTGGTTACTGGCTGAGGTCTTTGAGGCTGCGCAGTGAGCTGGCACAGCTGGCGATGAGGCTGCAGAGCTGGATACTTGACTCCAGGGAGGCTGAACTATCTAGCTGTGTAGTGGCCCAGCGAAGTTTGGTTAGAACAGCTTCCTCAGCTTCTTGCAACACAGGTCTGATGGCAGCGTCCTGTGGACAAACTGGGGGGCGAGGTGGGGCCACGGCTGGGGTGGAGGCAGGAGTTGAAGGAGAAGGGACAGCAGGTAGAGGCAGGGCAGCTCTTCCCCCTGCGGCAGCCCCCTCACAGTGCTCTGGTCTGGGAACTGACACACTTGCCTGACTGTTGCTGGCGCTTTCACTGAGTTCAGGGGCCTGGGACAGCGCAGGGGACTGGGCTGCAAGCTGTCTCTCCCTCACTTGGGACAATGCTGCCTGAGCATTCAGAGCTGAGAGGAGTAAAGAACAAAGAAGACAGGGAGCAAGCCCAAATACAATTTAGAAAAGGCTCAAACAAGAACAGAATTGATGGAGCAAATGAGACAGAAAATTTAATAACATATGTGATGGTGGATCAGAAAACACAAGGAACAACACGAGATATAACTCATGCGCATTAAATTTGAGTTGTGTATACCAGGGTTGTCCTTATCAACATCAGAGTCCAGCTCCTGACATGAGACACAGTAGTTTTTCTGCTGTTTGTCCTGCAAAAGAATTGTCTGAAAACAGAAAACACACTTATTTTAACACAAACATTACACCACTCCACCTTTTCTACATTATTAAATGTAACAGCAATATCATCATCAAAAATGGATCATAAAAATCAACTTCACTCACCCCGCACACATCACAGCACTCTCCCAGCATCCTGTATCCTTTGAGCAGGTAGTCTCCCATCAGCTTGCTGATTTTGTCTTGTCGCTCCCTGCGAGCCTGGATCACCTTCATTTCTGCCTCTGTTGGAGGCTCCCACTCAAAGTCATTGTCATCTGGGGTCAGTAACAAAGTGCTGATTTAATTTAATTGTATTGCACTTACACAGACAGTGTAAGTTAAGCTAAGTTTATATATCTGGAGTTACGTCTTTCTGACTACTTAAAACTTAATTTAAGATATCAAATAAAGGACCATGTCGATATTTGAAACTGGAATTACAACTAATCATGAATCAATGTCTGCAACTGAACTGTAGATATCTGTAATTAGAAACCCCATACACGTGAATGCAAAAGTAGTTTGAATCTAACTAGTTGAAATTACAGATATATTGAATTAGAGCTTTGACAAGGCAAAATATTCAGTTATGAATATCCAGTTTAGCTAATAAATGTTAAAACGTCTTTTCATACTGCACTGCACCATTGTCCCCACAAAATGCAGAGCTGTTTCTGTGATAAACAGTCCCTAGCACTGTTGAAACGTGTGTTTTCTATCTCTGTTAGCACTTTGCCGATTTTAATAATTCGATTTTACAAGACTTGTGCACTACCTCGAACATTTACATTCAACACTTTGATCTACGTTATGTTGTTTTTAAACGTGATTAGCATTGCCACACTGCTCTGCTAGGAAGTGATAAGCTAGCTAGCTAGCAAATCCACCGGGCTAACGGTTATCTGTATTTTGGGGACGACACATCTTAGAAACATTAAATTACACACGAGAATCATTACCTATACGTGCGTCAAAATGTTTCTTTATCAACAGTACAGGTGATTGGTAGAAATGTCAAAGTCAGCTTGCTTACAAGCTCTTAAGTTCACAAACCTCCATTCAGAGCCATGTTGCTTCTGTGCCACACGTTGTACGTGATGACGTCACAACAGTCAAGCGCAGTATTCTTCTTCGTTGAGGTTTTTACGGTAGTTGGTATTCTTGCTTCCCCTTTTGGATAATATCCTTCAATGTCAAAGGCTTTCATCAGTCTATTTTTATTTTACTTATTGAAAATGAAGAAAATATACGTACAAGTTAAGGAATGGGTACACATACATTAAGAAAATGAAATAATTTACAATGGTGGAAATTAAACTAGAGCACACTCAAACATAGCAGGCACACTCACAATGAAAAACAAGAGAGATCAAGAAAAAATAAATGAGTAAATAAATAAAATAAGATACAATAAAACATAAATATAAATAAAATCATTAAAAATTAACAAATAATTGAATGCAAAAAGACAAGGAACACAAAAGAGCAAGACAGGACACATTAATAAATGTGTGCATTTAAATTATCCATATAATAAATTATATCATTGCCTGTAATCAGTCTTGTAACACTCATAAAACAAAGTAGCCATTTTCTTCTCTCCACACTCTAAAATACTTTTTACACTCGTGTAAAATTGTGTAATCATCACTTGTCTTCCCTTTGTATTTTTTTCTGCATGTTACTATAATGGGCTCTACTTTCTCTTTTTCATCATCACAATGACCTGCTGGATGTTTTCCTATAGTCAAGATGTGTATTGTTGTTATTTCAGCAGAGTCGTTGACTCCTCAGTCATTCATAAATGCCATGGCTTAAATTCCTTCTTAATCCATTACTATGTATTCACGGTATACTATTGACTGAAGGGAACACTTACATCCTTCCAAATGTATCAGGCTACATCATGAACATTTTCCCCATGACTTAAAAAAAAGAAGATAATTCACTCCTTCCTTTTCCATCCAGAAATGGTAGTATTATTTTAAGTTACTACTCTACTTCTGCTAAGGATTAATATTATGATGGTAGTCAATGAAATTGATAATTATGCAGACAATATATAACCAAAGCATTCTGAAATTGATTAAATAAAATATTTCAAATGAACAAATTATTATTGTTGTTGTTGTTATTTCTGAATAACTCCTGGCTCATTTTTACAAATCAGCTGAAAACTCAGTCTGGGTTCATTAATGGAATATCAGTCATGACTGCATGTGTCTCAATATTGATATTCTTATTGATAAAGAATTGATAGAAGACATTTTTTGAATAAATATTCTTCTTTGACTTAAAGGTACATTGTGTAATACATGGCCAGAATTTTAGTTTAAAACATTAAAAAATCAACAAACATTATCAAAAGAATGTGAAGAAGCAACAGTTCGGACGTTATGTCAAAAAAGTCTATGTATTATGTTGCAGAGATATCTACTGAAGTTACAGTGCTAACAAGCTACCCTGTGCTAATCCTGTATTGTAATACAACTCTATACCTCTAAAGGCTTAACTTGAACAAAGTTAGAATTTAAAATTGTACAGTGAGTCATGATTTGCTCATGTAGAAACTCACATGAATTGATTTTGAATCAGACAAATCTGCAAGCTCATGTTTTTTTTGCTTTGGCATATCTGGTGGTGTCATCTGGCCCATTCCCCTTCAGGCAGATTTCAACCATACTAGATCCGGTTGGACCAATCCCAACCATTTGTGGAACCATTTCAGTTGAATAAACTATCATGTTAGTATTAAAGGACTTGTAGACTAGGCTATGTTTTCACTAAAAGAAGAACAAACAACTGCACTTAAAGATGTTATTGATAAGAACAATGTGTTTTCTGCATTTCCGACAGGATATGGTAAGTTTAATTGACCAACTATGTTGGTAAATTTTAGTTGTAGTTTTATCCAATTGTGTCCATAGGCATCTCTGTCTGTTGATAACGCCCCTTGGAAATCTAAAATGAACTAGAACTGCAAGTAGTTATAAGCGGGCTCCAAGCCTCCCAGCGCAAGCCTCTCCCCCCCCGGCCCCGCGGAGGGCACGCGAGTCGGCCCGGGCGCCCCGCCGTCGTGCCGCATAAGGTCCCCACATTTGGTGTTAATGGGCCATTCCAAACAGAGGCAGAACGTCCTGCCTTTGAAAATGCCATAGGAATGAAAGGGATTTAGTGAGAGATTTCAGCTTCACTTTTAGTGCCACCTCTTGGCCAAATTGCATCAAAATTGTCATGTGTGATCAGGGCCCCATGGGAACAATTGCCCCAAATTTGGTATCAATCGGAGTTGTGGTTGTGGAGATCTAAAATGCATGTAAGTCAATGGGATTTTTCTTTGACGTCTTTAATCTGCAATAACAGTTCCACCTATGGGCATATTTGGGTGAAGATTGGTGCCTGTAGTAAGGGGACCATGCTGAACAATTCGGCACTGGTTTCATGTCAGTGTGACTTGTGGTTATAGAGGTTATAATTTTGTTGGATGAAATAGTGCCCCCTAGGGGCGAGTTGCACCAAAGTTTGCACAGGCCCTCAGGGGGGCGTCCCACATTAACGCTCCAAACATGGTGTCGATTGACCATTCCAAAGTGAAGATATGACATCACTTCCTGTTAGTGGCGTTTTTCGCAAACGTTTGCTAGCACATAATTGCGACATTTTTTGTTGGATCAAAATTTCCTCTACAAAGTTTTATCAGCTTGGTCAAGAGATTATCCATGCTAAGTTTGTTGTTGATCGAACTTGCGGCTTAAGGAGGAGTTAATTAATAAAATAGGTTTTTCAGTTTTCGCAATGTAGTGAAGAAAGTTTAGGTAAAAATGGGCGTGGCCCATACCAAGAGATTCAGCTCGATCCCCTGAATGTGTGGATATAAGGTTTTTGATATACGCCTTCGTAGGCGGGAGTTCCAAGCCCAAACGCGTTGACCTTGCTTATAGCGCCACATAGAGGTAGAACTGTGCGGATTTTTGCGCCTGAGTTACGTGCAGTGAACTGGACTTACCCTGTGAGTTCCCCTTCGAGGGAACTCGAACTGTGTCGGTGACGACACTATGGGAATGCCTCTAGGCGTGGCAGGGCTGAATTATGAATGTAACTACTTCAATCCTATTGGCGTTGCTCAAACGATAGCATGGGACGGCGTAACTGGAGGCGTATGAAGCACGCCGGCCCCGCTATGACGAACTCTTGGAGGTGGTGACGCGGGCGGTGGCCAAGCTCCATATCGATTGGCCGCAGGCTGTGCAGGACACACATGCTGGGAGTAAGCTGGATGAGCGTTTTCTGAAGCACCGCGCGCCGCCTCCGCGCCGGGCTCTGCCGTTCTTGTCACTGTATATTTACAGTATACAGTCTTTCTTCTCGGATTTGCACAATGAGTTGTGAAAATCCTGGAGCAAGCCCTTCACAGCACGCCTGACTACTCCCCTGCTCCTGGATTACAGCAACGTTGCAGGGGTTAAGGGATTCAGCTATGGGATGATACCCTGGGTTGAGGATGCTTTGGCCAGCTATCTCTCACCCGACCTTGCGCCGGTGCAGCCCACTAAGCCATGTCGCATTACATCTGCTTTGGTGGGCAAGGCTTATATGGCGGCAGGCCGGGCTGGTGCGAGCCTGCACACGATGGCGGTTCCCAAGAAGGACGGAGGGTTGCGTCCGATTTTGGATCTGTGCCTGAACCAGGCTCTGAGGAGGTTCAGGTTCAAGATGCTCACCATCCCCGCCATCGTGTGTCACATCCAATCCGAGGATTAGTTTGTCACGATAGATCTTCGAGACCCATATTTCCATATCTCCATCCGTCCCTCTCACAGGAGGTTCCTGAGGTTCACCTTTGGGGGCATGGTGTACCAGTATCGGGTTCTTCCGTTCGGCATAGCACTCTCCCCTCGCACGTTCACCTAGTGTATGGAAAGCTGCATCCAGTGTCATACCTTCTGGCCTGCTACATATGAGAGCCCTGCAGTGGTGGTTGAAGACCAAGGGGTTCTCCCCGAGGGGGAACCCGTTCCGTCTGATACGGGTTACGAGCAGGTGCCTTCGTTCCCTGTCTGTATGGAAGAAACCTTGGTTTTTGTCCCAGGGTCCCAAGTTGGGGGTGCCATGTCACCGGACAATTATTTCGACAGACGCCTCCCTCACGGGGTGGGGCGCGGTCATGGACAGCCACTTTTCGAGAGGATCCTGGCAGGAGCATCATTTCTCGTGGCACATAAATTGCTTGGAAATGTTGGCGGTGTTCCGGACTCTGCAGAGCTTTCTTCCCGACCTCCGAGGTCGCCACGTCCTTGTCAGGACCGACAATACGGCAATGGTGGCCTATTTGAATCACCAGTGGGGTCTGCGCTTGCGCCCATTGTGCAGACTGGTGCATCAGATACTCCCGTGGTCCCAGCAGAGACTGTTGTCTCTTACGCCGATGTATATCCCTGGGGCCCAGAACCAGGGACTGGACCTGCTGTCGAGGCAGGGGCTGAGGCCCGGGGAATGGAGACTCCACCCTGAGGTGGTGGAGTTATTGTGCGAAAGGTTCGACCCAATAGATGTGGACCTGTTTGCGTCTCGAGAGACTACACACTGTCCACTGTGGTTCTCCCTCTCGCCCCCAGCCCTACTGGGGCTGGATGCCATGGTGCAGACGTGGCCGAGGCTGCATCTGTATGCGTTTCCCCCAGTCACTCTTCTCCCGGGGGTTCTGGAGCGGGTCCATCAGGACGGTGTCAGCTTACTGTTAGTAGCCCTGTTTTGGCAGGCCCGAGTGTGTTTTTCGGACATAATCTCGCTCCTGCAGGGCCCGCCGTGGCAGGTTCCTCTGAGGAGGCATGTCTCAGGCAGAGGGCCGGGTCTTTCACCCTTGCCCCACCCTGTGGAGGCTGTGGGTCTGGCCCCTGAGAGGGCGCAGTTCCTTGAGGCAGGCCTGACGGCGGGAGCGGTTGAGACTCTGCTCAGCTCCAGAGCTCCATCCATAAGGAGGACGTACGGCCTGAAGTGGAACGTGTTTTCCACCTGGTGTAGAGAACGGGCGGTGGACCCAGTTACCTGCCCGGTAATTGCGGTACTGGAGTTCCTCCAGCACCGTTTCTCTGCTGGCCTTTCCCCATCCACGCTCAAGGTGTACGTGGCTGCCATTATGGCGTTCCACGCTCCTCTG